GACTAGCTTTGAGTGTTTATAGCTGACATAAGTCAGTTGCCGACACATAAAGAAAGCCTTTTTAACATTTTCGTGATCAACCATTTGGTGGAACACATTTTTCACTGATCATAGGGCATGCTAGATCAAATTCACTTTACCTTAACTAGCTCTAGAATTAAAATTAAGTATGTGTTATGACGTGTCTATTTTTAAAATTTCACACGTTTACCATAAAGTTTCACTCCAACCATTCATGAAAATTAGCTTTTTTCATTCGTCAAAATTTTCGCCGACTAGCTTTGAGTGTTTATAACTGACATAAGTCAGTTGCCGACACGAAAAGAAAGCCTTTTTAACCCTTTCACATCCACCATTTGTTGGAACACATTTTTTACTGATCATAGGGTATACTAGATCAAATTCACTTTACCTAAACTAGCTCTAAAATTAAAATGAAGTATGTGTTATGACATGTCTATCTTTAAAATTTCACACGTTTACCATAAAGTTTCACCCCAACCATTCATGAAAATTTGCTTTTTTCATTCGTCAAAATTTTCGCCGACTAGCTTTGAGTGTTTATAGCTGACATTTAGTCAGTTTCTGACACACAAAGAAAGCCTTTTGAACATTTTCGTGATCAACCATTTGGTGGAACACATTTTTCACTGATCATAGGGCATACTAGATCAAATTCACTTTACCTTAACTAGCTCTAAAATTAAAATTAAGTATGTGTTATGACATGTCTATTTTAAAATTTCACACGTTTACCATAAAGTTTCACTCAAACCATTGATGAAAAAAAGCACTGATTCTAGTTTTTATTGATCCAAAATTGTCCCATACTTTTTAAGTGTAGATGTTAATGGATTAAACTAGGAAATATGTGTTGGGCAAATTTAGTGAGACAATATTTGGGTCACATCATGAGGAAATAGTTTTAAAAAAAAAACGCGATCCATGCTCTGAGTAAAAAGTCGAAATTCTGTTTTTAAACTATATTTTAGATTAAGACCAGAGTACAGATGGAACATTTAGGTTAAAAGATTATGAACATCTGTAAAAGTGCAATCATTGGGGTTAAATCAGACCTGCGTATGACACATCTGGTGACACTTTGCTTCAGAAGGAGTTTTCGTAAAAAGTAATACATTCATAAATTGGGAAGATTTAGTGCTAAAGGCTTTAACTGGCTTATGAACGGGACAATCGTCACACAACCACATGGGAAACTGATAACATCAAACAAAACACGTTTGCTAAAGGCTATTGCTGCTAAAGGCACAGTTCTACCAGGAGGAATTGGTGTTTTCGCCACACTGCTTTCGCGTTTTATCTTTCTTTGGGTTTGACAAATTATTTCATTTTCCGATGATTAACAGATCATTCCTCATTTTCCTGGTTTTTATCTTCCCTGGTTTTGATTTATGCCAAAGCCGGGGAGAAAATAGAATCCTCTTCAGGTAATCAATAGGATTATTACGTTATTAATCTTAATTTCCTGGAGTGATAGAAAATAACACATTTGGGTTCTGCCACTGTGGTTAGAAGTTGGTCATCTAAGGTCAGCCTCGTCACGATCATCCATATAATTTAGAAAACTCAATTTTTATGACATCGACCCAGAGACAAAGTGGATCTTTTGGGTCATCAGTTTTTTTAAAATCTGGTCCTCTTGGTGCACGCAATTGACTTTGTAGCTCTCTTTGAAATTTAAATAAATTATTCAGAAAGTATCGCTTCTAAAAAATTGATACTCTCGTGGCCTTACCCATTTTTGGAGACAGGCTTTTTTAGTGAAACGTCAAGGTTTTTTTAAATAAAAATCTTTGACTTTTTATTAGAAATGTACATATGAAGATGATCTTTTTTAACTTTTTTAAATCTTTGCTCCTAGTAATCGAATAACTCCTGGATCTGTTTCACAGGCTTTTATATTGAAATTTTGACCACCCTCTCTTTTTTTCTCTGCAGCTTGCAGTTCGGAGCCTCAAAACGTTCAGGCCGACGCCCAAAACGACACCACCATCGTGGTGACCTGGGAGCGGCCCCGGGCTGTCTACGACACCACCATCGACTGGTACAGCGTCACCTACCAGAGGCTTCAGGGCGGAGAGCAGAGCAAGACCGAGTACAGGACCGACGGAGACCAAGATGTGGTAATACACGCCATTAGAAAACCATTTTTTAGAGTCAGGTACATCTGACTCGTAATAATGCAAGTTCCCACACTCCTGGAGCAAATGCGGGATTGTAATCCGCATTAGCCTTTTGTCTGTCCAGTGCCTCTATCTTCTATTTTTGCTCCTGTAATGTAGATTGATCAAAGTGATTGGATTTCCAGTTGATGATGATTGGGCCCTTCTGACCTTTGAACAGGTCACTGAGCAATCCTTAGTGTGACTGGCTTTGTATATGTGTATATGTGTGTGTGTGTGTGTGTGTGTGTGTGTCTGTGGTAAAGGAATTTGTCAGAGTCAAGGACGGGATTATGAAACACACATTTTACTTGGTGGTAAGGTTATTGATATTTTAAAGACAGAAGTGAAAGGTATTTTTAAACGCATGTGTGGATTTTCGCTTCATGATATTTAATTAAAAGAAGAATTTAATAAAAAATATGCAATAACCTTAATTAAATCAAAAAGCAGTTATTTGATGCAGGGAAGCTCATTTTCTCTAATCAGTTGTAAAGTGTTTTTCTTTTTGTTCTTAATCAATTTGTCAAACATGAGATAATATATATATATATTTTTTTTTAATTTACTGGAAATGATAAAGTAGACAAAGCTTTCTTCGACATGTGGCTAACTTACCAAATATTAAGCAGGTGTCTTAAAGAAAGATCACGATCTGGCCCTTATGGTAAAAACGTTAATCCTTATTCACAGTCAGTGGGTATCATCCCTACAGGGAACCATAGCTTATCAAAAAACTATTCTGCAAAAATAGTTGCATTCGCTGCAAAAGGAACAAAAAAAGTTTAATTGGATTACTGGCAGAAACCAGTGTTTCATGATTCATGTGCCAACAAATTCAGAGGCATGACAAAAGGTGGAGAACGTTAGTGGGATGTAGAATTGGATAATTAAGGATAAAAATATGTTTATTATCTTACGAAAAATGATCAAATTTTAAAATGTATGTTGGTCATTAAAAGGAGTTGGTATCACTGTTAAAAGGTAACTGATTTTTCCAGGGTGCCATCATTCCAAATCTGCTGTCCAACTGCAGCTATGTGGTTCAGGTGGTAGCCGTTTGCACCAACGGCCTCAGAGGACGATGGAGTGACCAGATCATAGTGGACATGCCGCTGGAAGACCCAGGTACAAACGGACACAAGTTCACACGAGGATCAAGTTTCAGCTGTTAAGAGACAATAGTCAAAAAAGTTTTTCTCCTCTTGCAGAAAGTGACTCCCCCCCTGAGATTGCCACAAAGGAGACTAAAAGCCACAGGGAGGTAGGACAGTCTGAGTATCTAGACACACTCAGGGATTATTATGTAGAGATTATTGTTTTTTTTTTGCAATGCTGACCTTTGCCCTGTGTTCAGTCATATCACTGAACCTAAATAGTAAGCAAATCAATGTCATTACTTTGCCAAGGAATTGTTATTGGATATTTAGGGAGCACAAAATGTTCTGGGCTTGTAGAAAAGGTAGGGGACAAAAAACTGATGACATAACCAGTACAATTGATAGAAATGGAATATGTTTTTCATAATATTTAAACAATTCCCAGCCCTTTTTGTATCAATCTAATCTTATACAATTCAAGGGAATGAGGCATAAGTAAAAAGCATTACCACAGTAACGACTTATTACTACATGTTGTGACAAAGTTGTCTTCATTTTTCTTCAGGACGCGTTTGTTGCCGTATGGGAGCGGCCAAAGAACCAGAATCAGGTGGATTTAGTTCCAGAGGACCACAGCCCAGTGGAGGAGATCCCAGCAGACCAGACCAAAGTTTACCAGAACCAGCCTTCCCATCAAAACACCCAGCCCACAGACCGAACCCAATCGATCCCCAACGATCCACTCCAGGACGTCAACCCCGAGACCCCAAAGACCCCCTCAGACTCTGTCGGGCCGCAGAAAACTCAAGTCGGCCAGAACCCGGGAGAGAAACCGGGTAGGAACCGGTCAAAGCTGGACGGCGCCAATCAGAACCGGATTGAGGGTGATCAGCTGATCCCGGCCAGTCGAGCTTTCACAAATCCGGGATCTGACAGCAACAGCGCAATCTGGGTGACTCAGGCGGCCCAGCAGCCGGGATTCCTTTTTCCGGTTTCTCAAACGACCATTCCCGAATCGACCCGCCGGCAAATCACCGAGGAGGCTTCTTTGTCAATGCTGCCACCTCAGGTCATAACCCACACCTCCTTCTATATCCAACAACTTAACATACTGTAAATGTATCAGATATGGATGTTTTAAACTTAGATAGTTCCTGGGAGAGGTGTCATGATGGTTGAACTCATCCTCATCTGTTTGTTTCCACCATTACTTTTGCAGTCTGTGGATCTTGACCTACCAGACCAAGACATAGAAAATGGCCTCACAAAATCAGACCTGTTCACCCCTCCAATTAAGAACATCCAAGTCACAGATATCTTCTATGAAGACACAGTCACCAACGCTCCACCGGAAACCATCCCGGACTCAGCAACGGTATTGGCTTGGCCAGTCCCAGGTCAGCATGGCGTCTTGAAATATTTACCAGCCTTGTACACCAATGATTAACTGGATTCATAGCCTACAAATCCTTGAAAAGTGTCGTGTCACGTGATTTATCCACAGGTAATGCTGTAGACGAAGAATCGTCATCCTTGTCTGAAGACGGCGAAGCGTCTCCGGACAAACCCCCATCGAAACCTGTCACGTCAGACTCCTCCCTCCGGTCCTCGGTGTGGGCGGACGGAAAAGCGCCAACCGCCAGCAACGCTCTCGCTAGCTCGGTCTACAAATCGCTCACCACCTCCTCTTTGCTCCGAGTGCTGATGCACACAACTCAGCCCATGTTCAAGGGTAAAACGATGCACCCGAGAACACTTTTCTTTTGAGATCTCCTATTCCATTAAATGACCCGCCTGCTTTTAAAAGCGCCTTCCAATTGTCAGTATGAGAGATTTTTATTCCGCTGCAGTGCTGCTTTAATAGATGCTCTTACATGATGGTGGGTGGACGACTGGAATTAAAGGCAGTGGATGCTTTTCCTTTTCCCTGTAATGACCCGCTGCTGTCTGGATGATTACGTCTGTGCTCTGTGATCAGGCTGGCATATTGTGAGATGACATGATGTGGGTGGTGGTAATAATAACAACAGCCGTAAAGAATGAGGAGCCCTTGATTATGATTGGAGTGATAATCAGTAGCTTTCCCTTTCTGAAGTGGTTCGTGCTTACGCTTACGCAAATCTTACCGCCTGTTTTTTTTGTTTGTTTTTTTCTTCTTGTTGACAGTGTCAATTTTTTTTCATTTAGCAATAATCAATTTGAATCCACTTAAGCTTGGCGATGAGTTTTGACTTCTGGGACTTCCCGTGTCTGAATCATCTCCTGTGGCTAACTGGTGCTCTCTGGTGGTTGCTCTTTCCTCCTTTCTTCAAAGAATGTGGGGCTTGATACCTCTTTGGGGTATTCTTCCTCTTGACGATTGCTGACATCTTTTTCCTTTGCAAATGGTAAAGATATTTTCTCCCCTTTTGCGAATATTCACAATTAAATCGACGACCGGTAGCTTCGTTTGAATTCTCCAGCTTCTATCTGAATCTCTTGCGTTCCACCTCTTGGAAGATCCTTTCTTGCTTTGAATTCCATCTTTCCTTCAAAAGAGAACCCATTTTCAAAAGGATGCGTTTTTGCTTTGGCTTTTCTTGCAGCTAATTCACCCACGGCCAGCACTGAATCCAGCTCACATCTGTCTTCTGGCACAGAAGACCCTCGTAAAACTCAAAATGGAATAGTCTTCTATCCCACGAGTCCTACAGTCCCCAATGGGGCAATCACTACCAAAGGAAATCTGTTCAGTGTCACACCTCCATCACGCAAACCCCTCGGAGAATGCGTTAGCAAGTCCCATCTTTCTCCAACCCTCAATGACAAGTCCTCTAAGGAACCATCGGAATCTCCTTTATTGTTGGATCTGGATAACCCTTCAGTCTCTACAACTTTAGGCCCTCCTAATAATCTCATTTTTACAGACTCTCTTCACCTGTCTTTGCGGATTAGTAATAGTTTCATACATGTATCAAGAAAAGACACTGCCGAGGGTTCTTCTAATACTGATAGTGATGGAACATCTCAAGATCATCTTAGAATCAGGTCAGAACAAAAGCTTAGAAATGAATGGGAAACCAGCGGACAGATAGATGTTTCTGACAGTACCAACGCAGTCACATCTCACTTTGATTTGAGAAGTTTGGATTTATCAGACAGCACATTAGAAGACAGTGGATCGGGCTCGGGCCTCGACAGCAAAAGGTTGAACGACGTATCGCACGGAGCTGCTGAAGTTCAACCTACATTGCCTACTTTTCTGAACTCAGCTGGTAACTTTAAGGCAGATGATAATGGAGAAAAGAGAAGACCACCAGAGGCTAAGATAGCAGCTGAGGGAGATGGTTACCCAGGTGGAGGAAAAGGAGTCACAGGTGTCGAGAAAGAGCAGTATTCAGAGGCAAAAAGAGAGGAGGAATCTGAGATAAGAGGAGAAGAAGAGGAAAAGACAGATAGGAGTTATCATACAGAGAAGACAGATGATACAGAAGCAAATGGAATTGTTAGACAGGTCAATATCGCTAAAGGATTTAAAATGCCGAGAGAAGAAGGGACAATATACAGTGAGGGAAGCAGTGGGGTGGAGGATGTCAGTGGGTCTGGAGAGCAGTTTGGGATTGACGACAAGGACAATTCAAAGGACATTAATGGTGATAAAGAGAGTTTTTCGGTAACTGTAGGTGAAAGTGAATATCGCTTGAAGGATTACAGCCATGAAGAATTAGCATCTGAAGGAAAAGGTACTCTGCAGCTGCTTGCTGCTAAAAGCACACCTGTCGCAGACGTCCCAATGTTTGCAAACAGCAAGGAGCCAGGTAATCATCAAATAAATCCAGCTCTAGGAGCAGGTGCCATCGAGACGACAGGTGGTAATGCAGGCGCGTTTAAAGATGGCTTGCAGGAGTTCGCAAACGTAGATGGGTTGTTGTTTGACGCAAGTGCCATGTTGGAAGGTCTTGTTCCTCTGCTCAGACTGACTGACACCAACAAGACAGTGGAAGAGCAAATGAAAGGTAAATGTTACACGTCGTATGAATTTTTCCCAAAGAACCATCATTTCCTCAAAAGTTGCGATAATCAATAAGATGGAAGTAAAATCAGAATGGAGTGATTTACAAAACCTGGAAATCAAATTCAAAACAGATTCATAGAAAAACGTTTTGACAATGATTTATTCCACTGATTTCAAATATAAGATCATCTTGAGGTTGATGGCAGCAAACATATTTTCAAAAAAAGTTGGGACTTTGGAAACAAAGGCCTAGAAAAGTAAATGGTACAAAATAGAAAAAGATGAAACAACATGTAACAACAAATGATATGGTTGACTGGGTACAAGCTAAAAAAACAATTAGGTATTTTATACAAAGAGCACCCGTCAGAGGCAAAGTCTCTCAGTAATAAATCCTCTACAACTAAAAAAATATATACATTTAATCCACTACAGGATGAAATATAAAGCTGATTAGAAGCTGAAGACATCACTGTGTAAAGGGTGATGAATATCTGTGAATGTGACCCAAAAATGCCTGTGTCTGCTTTGGACCAAGTCTACTTATTCAAAGTCTTCAAACTAAGAAATTCCTTTTAGAAATCATTGATGCCTTTCTGATTTATTCATGGAAGGCCTTGCGTTTTCTCAGCAAGAAAATGTTCCGCCATTTTTTGCCAATGGAAAACATCCAAAAATGAAAAATAGAACAAAGAGCTAGGAAGAGGAATACTATGACAGGTAAAAAACAAACACACTGTTCGAGCAAAAGTCCAGCATCTGGTGATTTCAGCTCCCAGATGCATAGAGAGGCTATGATCTTTTGTGTTAGACGAGGCACTGTCCAAACTTTTTGGGAGTAATTTTGCTGCCATCCAGTTAAAGATGAGAAATAATTTTTCATTAAATATCGAAATACCTCACTTAAAACAGTTTACATGGTTTCTCTTTTGAATTGTAGCTTAAATAATGTCGAATACAACTGCATTATTTTGTAAAAATGTTGATTCTATAAGGAATGAGGACCTTTTTGGTTGGATTGATGTGGAATCCTGAGAGCAAAGCACTGGTTTAGTGGCATTTTTCTCTTCTCATCGGTGTAACATTCCCTGTTGCAGGCCTTTGTTTTCAGTTTAAGCTGCAACACAATGAGACGTTTAACAATTGAAAAAGGCACATTTTCTCTTTGGGGTGGATGGAGACTAAACCAGATACAGAATGTTGGACTTAATTAAGGTTACGTAAAGAAAAATAATCAGTGGCTCCTTTTTTTCAGAAGCTATTGGAAAGTAAGCCGCTTGTTGACGCGTTTTTTTAAGTGCGCATTGATATTCTTTCAAACGGAGGCGTTGAAAAGGGTGAATGTCTTCACAAAACTGGCATTGATGTTATTCGCTGTCTTCTTTTTTTGGGTGTTTTTGAGGCCACCGTTGATCTGAGGTTAATCCAGGTGTCAGTCTTGGGGTTATATGCAGATTAATTTACCTTAATACTGGAAAGCTCAGTCGTTGTGTTAATATTAGAGGATGATTAGCTTTGATAAGCAATGTTGTGTTTGTTTTTGGCTCTGGCTGTTTGACAAGAAAGCTGAATATTCTTTATTCTATTTGAATTTTGGACAATCAAATGATTGAACAGTCTTTTTTTTAAAGTGTACACTCACTGCTTTTAACTAATCAGTCATCCACATTTTGATTCATTTTGACGTGGATGAACTGTATTCATATTCATTTTACATACTTGGTGTGAATAATCTGTACGCCATATGTCTCTCTCAGAGGGCAGCAACAGCAGCCACGAGTCTCGGGTCGGTTTGGTTGAAGGCGTGGAGAGGGAGAAGAGGACGGTGGTCCCTCTGGCCATCGTCTCCACTCTCACCATCCTCTGTTTGCTGGTTCTGGTCGGCATCCTCATCTACTGGAGGTACGGTCCCACGCGGACATATCGCGTATCTCCGTATCCTCTTTCCAACTTCGCACTTCCTGATCTCTTTCTCTCTCTGTGCTTCCACAGAAACTGTTTCCAGGCAGCTCACTTCTACCCGGACGACAGCGCCTCGCCAAAGGTGGTGTCCGCCCCGGCCACACCCCTTCTGCTGGCCACAGGTAGCGGACGGGGTTCGGATCAAAGTAGCGAAAAAACGCGGTAAAAATCTAAAATGAGATTTTTTTTGTCTGTGTTTCCAGATGGCCACGAGCCGCTGACGGTGAAAGAGTTTGTGAAGCACGTCATGGAGCTGCACAGCAACAACACTTTCTGCAAAGAGTTTGAGGTATGAACTTATCCAGCCCCCCCAAAAAATCCAGTAAAATATGTATTTTAGGAGTTTTAATTGCCCTATATGCCAACAAATATATGTAAAAAGGGGGTTCTGTTCACACTCGGTCCAAACATGCGTTATGGCTGCTCCATTCCCAGCGTTGCCCGGGGTAACGCCTTGTGATTGGATCACGCTCATCCCCTTTTTGCATCCGTACAGTAAAAGCATGTCAGATAGATGTCTCAGTATTGAAGTTAGTAGAGATGTTAGGGTAAGAATAAAAATCTAGGGGTGCGGCGTGTGGAAAATAATTATTTGTGATCAGGATAGATGTAAGGTTTGGTGCTTAACGGTTCAAATTTAAAGGAATGGGAATGTTATTTAATGACTGAGTCCTAGTGAATGCTGTCACATGAATAAATAATAAAAAAATTTAAAAATTATAAAAAATTATAAAATAAATAGATAAATAAATTAATAGATAAATAAAATAAAAATAAATAAATAAATAAAATTTAAATAAAAAAATAAAAAATCTAAATAAAAATGTGTGAAAATATTTTTGCAACTGCACCACACAATTTTGGATCGGATTAATTTTCATTGAAAATGTACAGATTTACAGATGGTCCATCTTGTAATTGCATCATCCGGCTTAGCCCACATCCAGCTCGGGGTATTTGGGCATGGCTTATAAAGTAACACGATAAATGACGTGGACGGAAGCCAAGTTGGATGAGAGGATTCTCAGTTGTTGAACCAGTCATGTTGCCCTTAAGCGTTGAGATGAAGGAGATCATGGCAAAAAAAAACACATTTAAATTTGATTGCTAGGGTCTTTTCATTTCCTCTCATACAAAAAGAATACATTTATTTTCAGCGGTGGGAAATATTTATTTTTTTCAATGTCCTTTTGGCAAAAACTGTCATCAGATTTTTTTTATGATTTGAAAATGGGATGTGCAGTAAAACTAAAAGACAGAAACATTTAAATGGAAAAGCGGACATAATTTATAAACCTGTGCGTATGCTATTTCTGGGGTTAACAGAAGTAAAAGCCTTTAAACAAATAACGCTTCATCATATGTCAGTTGCATGATTCAATGATGGAAACTTGTGTTATTCTGCTACAGTTTCTGATCATCACCATCATTTCTCCATCCCATTGCATTGTTTGATACTATTTGCACTGAAAAAAACTATAAAAAATCAAATATATCTATATATAAAACGTAGCTTCTAATTAAAAGTATCACAACATTACATGAACTCCATACAAATTCTAATTCTAAAGGACTTATTTGAGATTTAAAAGCATCATTTTCTCCTATAGAACACTGAAGCATCAATTAAAACATATAAACCCTGTTTTTGAAGTTTAATGCCATTATTTAAAATGAATAAATCTGAGTTAAAACATAGTCTTCTAAGCACTGTGCACAAACTATGTGCTTTGTTCTGAATTGATTAAACTTTTGGATGCCTTCAGTGTGGTTCTGCAATCCAGTCAGCCATGTTTTCACCAGGAGTGGACACAGCTTAGGTCTTGTGAACAAACATCTCATTTCTCATAGCTTCTTAATGCTTCCATACCTCCTATTAACGTCATACTGTCTGAGAGTGGCATTTAGCACAGTCTTGATGTTTAACTTTTGTGTGCGGCATGTTATAAACTAAGGTACAGGACGTCATTTTGTAGGGAAGGTTTTTTTAAAAGGCTAGAGCTGGTAGATAAAATCCACCTTTCAGGTTTGAACAATGGGAACATCTGCATGTTGGTCACCTTTTTTCCCAAGCATGAACCTCCCAAAGCAACACACAGACAGGATTCATTTGAGTTTACCCCACTTCCCACCCTTGGAGTTGCCGGTGTATTTGTGCATATTTCACTTTTTTTTTTTTATAACTGTGTTTTTGTTTTCTCCATAGCTGCAAATTAACCCCTCAGCCTAATTTCCTTTCAAACCCTAAAAGTCAATCAAAAAAAGTGATGCCAACCACCAGGACTTTTATTATCTCCGACCCCAGCTCTGATGGGAAAACCGGTGTATTTCCCACTCAGCGCCCACTCTCTGTGTGTATTTGGAACCCCAAAAAATTCCTGAACCTGCACTGACTCCCTGTCTGTCTGTCTGTCTGTCATCTTGTCCCCCCCTGTCCCACTCTCTTCACCATCTCCACCACCATCGTCGTGCTTTCTGCATCCTCACCACCCTCCATTAGATTGTCAAAGAGTCCTACGAGGTAAGCCGCTCCCTCTCCCGCTGCAGAGATGTTAGTCTCTTGCCCGATAAGCTTAAAAAATGTTAGTCCTCATCATACTGTTTCACTGTTAGAAAATGAACATGTCGACTGGAGGATAGCAAGCGATGTAACAACCTTTGAGTTTGTTTAGAAAAAAAACGGTATCATGTGTTTTTTGAAGGTTTTTGTTAATTTTTTGTTGAGTATTGTGCGTTTGTATGTGCCCCAGGAGGTGCAGGCGTGCACGGTGGACATGGGGATCACGGCGGACAGCTCCAATCACCCCGACAACAAAAGCAAGAACCGCTACATCAACATCCTGGCCTGTATGCGCCTGTTTCTACAAGTGGTCATGATTCAACAATTAATGAATCCATGCTTTGTTTGTTTGTTTGCTTGATTACTGTTTTTTTTTCTTCCCTATTCCCAGATGACCACAGCAGAGTCAAACTCTCCAGCAGTTTGGAGGGAGATGGGAAATGCGGCGACTACATCAATGCAAACTTTGTGGATGTAAGCTCAGTTCAGTTCAATCTCTATTCAGACTGTAGCCCCTGGTGAATGTTAATAACAATGATATTAATATTGATTCAGAGAACTAAAAATAACAATTCATGAAAGGACGCATTGTATAAGAAGTGCTAGTTAAATGAATCACATAACAGAAAAAAAATGGAATAATTTAACCAGTCAACAAGTATAACAAGTGAAATTCAGTTTCATTTGTATAAAAAATGGCTGCCAGCTCTGTGTGTGCCCGACATTGTAAATTACAGCAGCACAAAAGAAATGGAATGACCAAAACAAACAAACTGTTTCACAACATAATGAAAGACTGATAATAATTTACTTCTATTCAGGAAACTCAGGCCAATTTTGATGAGGATTCTATTGAAATGTTGGATGAAGCTAATGCTTGACATCTCAATTTAGTTTTTTTCTGTTGAAGTCTGGTAATTGGATAGATTTTCCATCTTTCCAGTATAAAATGAGTTTTCTGAGCTTGCTCAAAGTCACAGCTGTGTTATCATCAAAATTAATCAATGTCCTATTCTTCTACTTCTACTTCTTCTTGTTATTATTATTATTATTATGACTGGAGTAAAAACTCCAAGGTCTCTAAATTCTAGCTTCCATAAAAGACACATAAGGCACCAGATGGCATGGTCCAATAGATTGGATTGGGGATAATACGTTGTAATCGGCCTATTAATACCATTTTCACTCTTGGTGGCCATGTTGGCTTTTAATTGCAATAAAGATATGCTATACCTGGGCTCCACTGTGGCAAGAAATCCATAAAAAATCCATAAAAAATCCATAAAATGAAGTAGAAAACAGTCCAATAGTCTAAGTAAGTTGCTTTTCTATGACTTTGATCAGTATATTGTATATAGGATTAGAGGTGTTTTCCATTTTAGTGCTGGGATATGTGTAAATGGCTCCAAATTCACAGATTTGTGGAAGATTGTGGAATATTTTAAACCCAAATTACCCCAAAAGTCGTAGGCTTTCTGTGAGCATGCCTGTCCTTTGCAGGGTTATGAGCGGACGAGGGCATACATCGCCGCACAGGGACCCCTCAAAGCAGGCAGGGAGGACTTTTGGAGGATGATCTGGCAGCAGAACGTTGGCGTTATAGTCATGATCACCAACCTAAAGGAGAAGGGACGGGTAGGAGCTGAAATCTATTTTTACCGTGGAAATAAATGCTGTCGGTCATTAAACCTTACATGTATTTTCATAAAACTGCGCCTTTTTTAAAATCAAATATTCAGACAAAATGTGACCAATACTGGCCAGAAGACAACCAGGAAGAGTACGGCCCTTATCAGGTGACCCTGAAAAGCACAGAGACGCTTGCTTATTACACACGGCGGACGTTTGCGGTCAGGGATTCGACAAACAAGGTGTTTCTCACACACACACACACACACAAGCAACCCTTGAGTTTCTGTTTGGTCCTCAGCGATCGTCTGTTTAAACTCACGACTCACGCTTCCCGTTGTTGTCCAGCTGCCTCACAGGAAAGCGGAGCACACGGTCCTCCATTACCACTACACCCAGTGGCCGGACATGGGCGTCCCGGAGTACTCCCTGCCCGTACTATCCTTCATCAGAGCGTCCTCCAAGGCCCGGACTCAGGACATGGGCCCCGTGTTGGTGCACTGCAGGTAGATTGTAGATTTGTGTTAATCGGATTGTCATATATCGCCAAAATGGGGTCGACTTGATACGTGTGTGCGTGTGTGTCGCAGTGCTGGCGTTGGGAGAACGGGTGCCTACATCGTGATAGACAGCATGTTGCAACAGATCCAGGACCAGGGGACGGTGAACGTTCTGGGCTTCCTGAAACACGTCCGGACGCAAAGAAACTTCCTGGTGCAGACGGAGGTGAGAGAACACTTTCATTCGTTTCACTTGCTGGATCCAACTTCGTTTTTGCGGACTTCAAACCACTATTCGGTCAAATTCCGGTTTAAGTGACATTAGGGTGTTATGGAAAAAGTTCTTTAAATGAGTGAGGCAAAGTTTCTTTATAATTAGCGAAGATCGATCTTGTCCAATAAAGGTATAGATAACAGAAAGTAAAAGGCCACTGTGTTTCTTATCAGCAACAAACAAAGAGATTCTGATTTACTCCTCAGTCTTCCAGGATATCCCATGGAGAATCTCCAAAAGGACAGGGCTATGCATATTCTTTCACCCCCAACCGGCCGAGGCAGATGGCCGTCCACCCTGAGCCATGGTTCTGCTCGAGGTTTCTGCCTGTTAAAAGGAAGTTTTTCCTTGCCTGTGTCGCCTAGTGCTTGCTCATGGTGGGAATTGTTCGGTTTCTGTAATTAAATTCAGAGTAGGGTCTGACCTGCTCTGTTTGGAAAGCGCTGTGAGACAACTGTTGTTGTGATGTGGCGCTATATAAATAAAATTGAATGGAATATTCTCAGGAGACAGGAAAGGACCCCCTTGTGGATTGATCAAAAGGAGAATCTTCTCAGGGGATGAGTGAGGATGGCACAAAGGGCAAGTCATAAATTTCAATGATAAACAGGAATGGGAGATTCATCTTTGATGGGATTAAGGAAATTGTCGCATTTCCTACTGGTGCTAAAACCACATTTGACTTTCCCTAAAGGAATCAACAACCAGGTATCCTTAACTCATTGACTGCCAGCCATTTTCAGAATAGAGAGTCCCATACTGCCAGAGTTTTTTGAGCATTTTGACAGATTTTTCAAGAGCCACAGAATAGTTTGTGCTATGACTATGTAAACACCGAACACACCAAAAGAAAGAGTAGACTCTCTTCTTTCATCAGGAAAAAAAAATTGTTTCTACCTTATTCCGTTCTTCCTCGACTTGCGTCTCACCGGTGACATGTTCTCTCATATCGAACCGTTACCTTTTTCTTATTTGCCTACAGTCTATGCTCATCTCCCATCAAAAGTGAGACTGCCACCTAGAGGGTTAATTTGTTACTACATACTCTGTCTAGAAGCCTGATATTTACGGACAAGCTTTAGCAGATCGTCCCCCAGCCACTCTCGTTGAAAAACATAAAAGACGTCTATAGACGTCTTTGGCAGTCAACAGTTGTATTTGAATTGACGTCTATAGACGTCTTTGGCAGCCAATGAGTTAACAATGGACCAAAAGAGAAAAAAAATTCCAGGAAAAGGGTTATTGTTGTGTTAGATTTATTGCTAGGTAAGCATCATATCATGTTAAACGGTAGTCACACCTGAATACACATGTAATAATTCCAGTTCCTTACAGCCTCCTGCAGAAATCTCGTAAAGTGACCTAAACCCACAAAAAGAGGTGCACAGTTTGAAATATTGTCTTTCTTGCCTCTGTCATCCAGGAACAGTATGTGTTCATCCATGATGCTCTGGTGGAGGCCATCATGAGCCGGGACACCTGGGTAACGGCCGAGCTCCTCCACGCTTACGTCTCCGACCTTCTGACCCCGGCGGCCACCGGCCGGACACGCATGGACAAACAGTTCAAGGTGCGGCTCTTTCTTACCCAACCCGATAGAAAAACCTTTTTTTGATAAAACAAAAGAATTTAGGCAGCGCCTCTTGGCTGGTTTTCCACCTGTTTTTTACATTTTTTACATTTTCGTCTGACCTAACTGTTCGTAATGGCCACGTTTAACACATCTGACCGTTCCTCCTATGTTGTAGTTAATTAGCCAGCGCCAGGCCAAGCACGCTGACTACAGCACGGCGCTGAAGGATGGCAACGCCGAGAGGAACAGAGCCAGAGCGCTGATGCCCGGTAAGCCTGAGGCCTCAGTCGGTATATCGGCAAACGACCAACTAAACCATCCCATTTTATTGGAACGCGAGACCTTTTTTCTGGAAACCGGGTTGTTTCTCTCCCTGAAAAAGGCTTTGAAAAAGCCCGAATTGGGATTTTTGTCTTTAAATGATGAGAAAAAGACACAATATCACAACAACTACCTCAATTTTTAAAAAAAAGCAAAGGATGAAAGGCTTTTTTGTGAATCGTTGGCTTGCCTCTATGTGTTTCTAACTTGTGTGTCTCTGTGTAGTGGAGAGATCAAGAGTTTCTTTGACTACTTCGGAAACAAACTCCACGGGCTACATCAATGCCTCCTACGTTATGGTGAGACAGCGTTTTAGCATTTTCCCAAAATTTTGGCTAGATACGTTAACATATTGTACATTTCTGTTTTTGTTGATTAGATCTTTTTGGGGGGGAATTTTTGCCCGAGTGGCACTGAAATAAATTGAATATTTCATGCGTTTAGAACACTTTCTTAAGTCTCGCCTATGGGAATTTTCCTTTTAAGCGATTTCAGTGTGTTTTTCAAGACGATGATGCATCATCATCATCATCATCATTTCGATGCATCCCTCCTTTTCCACAGGGACACCGCTGCAGTAAGGAGTTCATCGTGAGTCAGACTCCGCTGAGCAGCACCGTGGCGGATTTCTGGAGGATGATCTGGGAGCACAGGACACAGACTGTGGTGCGCTTGCCGGACATGCACGGCCAGGTAAAGGGCCCGTCATTTTCCCCCGATACTGTTTAGGGTTGTCAAAAGTAGCGATACTCAAAAAAGTATCGATACTAAAACGTTGTATCCAGATACAATGCTCATTTTCAAATGTATCGCCCCTTCTCTCTGATTTATTTATTTGTTTACGTTGTTTATGGGCATTAACGTGACGTTAGCCTTGCTAACTATTGCTAGCTGCGGCTAATGGCTAATAATAACACGCCAACATTAATCAACTCCGTCTGGCTGCAGACTGCAGAAGGCCAAGGATGGATATCCAACTCTGCCCACATCCACGTCGGCCATTTTGATTAAGTCACCAATAGGAAGATTCCCGGCAATAAAATCGTAATTGCTTCATGGCAATATAGACATTAATTTAAAAATAGTTAAATTAATCTTGCAAACACAGAATTAAACTCTATACATAATATTATGTTAAAATAGTTTATGTTAAATAGGTTTGTACAATAAGTACAAACAACTTTAACCAAAAAATATTTCTTTCTCAGTTATGAAGGGTGTAGGGTTCAATTCAATTCAATTCAATTTTATTTATATAGCGCCACATCAGTTGTCTCACAGCGCTTTCCAAACAGAGCAGGTCAGACCCTACTCTGAAGGTAATTACAGAAACTCAACAATTCCCACTAATTCCCACCATGAACAAGCACTAGGCGACACAGGCAAGGAAAAACTTCCTTTTAACAGGCAGAAACCTCAAGCAGAACCATGGCTCAGGGTGGGCGGCCATCTGCCTCGGCCGGTTGGGGCTGAGGGAAAGAGAGGGCACGAGAGAGAGGGCGAGAGAAGGACAGAGGGAGTTAGGGTTAGGGTTAGGGTTTGGGTTAGGGTTAGGGTCATTAATGCTGGCCACCGACCACAATAACGTGTCGAACCTGTCGAAATTCAGTTAAATTTTGGGGTCTTTGTTTTTATCGTTGTGGTATCGAGTATTGAATATTTTCTTAAGTATCGGTATCGAGTTGAACATTTTAGTATCGTAACAACCCTACTGCTGTTGGTGTTTCAGGGCGTGGACAGGGACTGTTGCATCTACTGGCCCAGCAGAGATCAGCCGATGAGCTTCGAGGGCTTCTCCGTGTCCCTCTCCGGGGAGGAGCACCTTCCTCTGGCCAACGGCGAGAGGCTCCTGTGGCAGGACTTTACCCTGGAGTCTCTACAGGTAAACACACTGCTAACCCGATTCTTTAGTTGGAAACCTGAGGATAAACCAGAGTAAATCAATATTAAAAAATGGACATTTATTCAGAGACAAAACCTCTATCTCAGGGTCTCAGTAGGCCAAGAGCCCCGAGATCTGGGTGTGATGGGTCTTTGTCTCCAGGACTGGACACAACCAAGTCCTATTGGCTAGTTACCTCTGAGACTTACAAGCCGGGTCCTAATTCATGTAGATGACATTGGAATGTATCAATGTAACAAATGGTGTGTGTTTGTGTTGTATGTGTTGACCTAAAGTTGGATCTAATGCAACAGAAAAAGAAAAAGAGATAAAGGAAAAGACACAGCCAAAGAATTTAACATAAAATATAGTTATAAAAGAAAATAAAACAATCAGTCATTTATATAGATTATGTGAAAGCATACTATGCTAAAATGAGTCATTTTAGCCAAATTCTAACAACACACACAGGCGAGCAGCCGCACACACACACAGGCCGTGTCTTATTCGCCTACTTCGGTCAGTACGCTGCTCATGTGTGCTGACCACCAACTGCCGTAGTGCCCGCTTTCGAATGTGAGCGATGACTACGACACACGTGAACGCCATTTTCCAGCCACCCAGAAACATATGTATGTTAATTGTTTACTAATTCAGTAGTAATTCCCCACGTTAAGTTGATGAATAACTAAAGACACACACCAGCAGGTTCACATAGGTTGTCCGAAATCATTTTAAATTTTGAAAAAAACGCCGTCGTCCCCGGTTACCTCCCCTTCCGCTTTGTCGTCAAGATGGCGTCTGTTTATGAAGCAGCCTCTTATGAGAGTATGCTGGAAAGGCTGAATGATGAGAATGATGATTTCTGGGTACATGCGAAAGGGAAAAGAGGTGTATCTAATGACAGCCGTTATATTTCTGTTTCTATTTATTATTACTGTTATTTTCTGGACCATATTTTCTGTTGGAGATGTCAAGATGGTGTACAGGGAAAATATGTACAATCGGACAATATAACATATTATTTGGACCTTTTTTAAGTGTGTTTAAAGTTTGATCAATAAAAAAAGTTGAATTTCAAAGAAAAAAAGATGGCGTCCGTTTAGATCGAGTAGTGTCCATCACTCCACAATACATTTTTTGACCATTTTTAGGGGGTCATCCGGGTACTTTAAGTGTTATCTTTGTGTTATATACACTATAAACTTAAAACTAAGTGTTTTAAGTGTGCTAGTAGGCGGAATGAGACACTGCCACGCATTTTTTTTGCCCAATTTTATTTTTTTTATAGAAGGATCAGGTCCTGAAGGTCCGACAGTACAGCGCCCCCTGCTGGCCCAACCCAGACGGCCCCATCAGGAACTGCTTCGGCCTGGTCAGCGCGGTCAGGGAGCACAGCGGGCGCGCGCCGGCCCCCACGGTGGTGCACGATCCGTGAGTACCGACCCCTTAGCTAGCCGGCGGAATTCTGTTTTTTTTTTTCTCTTTCGGCAAAGCGTGCGGTTGTGTGTACCTGTGTCCAGCTTGGGAGGGGTCACATCGGGCCTGTTCTGCGCCCTGACCACGCTGCTCTGTCAGCTGGAGGCCGAAGGAGCGGTGGACGTCTACCAGGCGGCCAGGATGACCAACCTCATGAGGCCCGGGGTATTTAACGATGTGGTAAGAGCTCTGGCACACAGAAAAATGGGTTTTTGCCAGTGGCGGACCGTGCATTTCACCGCTAGGCCTTCAGTAGTGCTCCGTCTGAATCAATTCACCCCTCAATAACAATTTTATGGTTATAGAAATCATCTTAATATGTAGAAATACAGTAGGGACGTCCCGATCCAGCTTTTTGTATTAAAGTTGAAATTTATTTATCTTCTTACTTAGTTGCCACACTCATGTTGAACAGGGATTTTATTTATTTGGGTTTGTTTGCTAGCTTTGCCCTGATTGGATATCTGACTATCCAATCAGCGGGCGTGAATACGGTGACGTTGCCTAGGCCTTCCAGAAGGCCCCGGCATCACCAACCTAAAATCTGATTGGTTGAAGCAACAATGTACTCGACAGTGGCGGACCGTGCATTTCACAGCTAGGCCTTCAGTAGTGCTCCATCTGAATCAAGTCACCCCTCAATAACTATTTTATGGTTATAGAAATCATCTTATTATGTAGAAATACAGTAGGGATGTCCCGATCGTGCTTTTTGTATTAAAGTTTAAAATAATTTTTTTACTTACTTAGTTGTCAGACTCATGCTGAACAGGGATTTACTCTTATAACAACTAAAGTTTAGGGCACAGACCTGTGGGTTAGGAGATGCTAATGCTAATGCTAATGCTCGGGTGGGATCGTACTTTTAAAAAAAAAAATGGATCTGGAGTCTGGATCGGCAGTTTCTCATGCCGGCCGATACGATCCAAATATCGGATCGGGAAAAGCCTAAAATACAGTCTAAAGATCAGGGGTGCACAAGTCTTCTACTACTGCAGCTACAGCTGCGACCCCCCGCCCCCCCCAAAAAAAAATAATAAATAAAAATACATCAATAATATCCTCATAAAAACAACATTTTACTCACTTAATTTGCTTGAAAAGTCCGTTTTGAAAATGGTCCTGACAGTAAATCCGCCACCAAATCATTACACCAACACAACTATATTTGGGTTTGTTTGCTAGCTTTGCCCTGATTGGATATCTGACTATCCAATCAGCGGGCGTGAATACGGTGACGTTGCCTAGGCCTTCCAGAAGGCCCCGGCACAACCAACCTAAAATCGGTTGAAGCAACAATGTACTCGACATGTATTTTCTGTGGGGGGGGGGGGCTGCTGAACGGATTGTGAAGGCCTCCTGGCAGACATCTTTGACTCTGACCCTGCCTAGCGACAAATGATGTCTGAAATGTGATTGGTTAAATGCTTTTATATGAAAATGCATGTCTGGAAGCAGCGCAACCAGGGGAAAAGCTATGAAAAGAAGCGGGCAGACTATTTAGAGATATTTAATAAGTCTCCATGGACGAAATTTGATTAACATTAGTCTGTGATTCAGATATTTTCTTAGGCCTGCAGAGAAGGCCTTGAAGGCCCTGACGGCCCACCACTGGTTTTTGCTGTTCGGTGAAGGTATATTATAACCAGTGTTGGGTAAGGTACTTTAAAAATGTAATCCGTTACAATTACAAGTTACCTTGTTTAAAATATAATTGTAGTGTAACTTTTTCGATTACTTTTAAAAAGTAATGTAACTAATTACTTTTGATTACTTTTTGATTACTTTAAGGTTTTAACAAGTATTGACCCATGATTAATTTTAGCATGTTATTATTAGCAGTTCAAGGCTAACGTCTTGTTAATGATCATAAACGACGTAAATAAATCGGAGACAAGGGGCGGAGGGGGGGGTGGTATTGATACATGGGTATCGTATCCGGATACAACATTTTAGTATCGATACTTTTTTAAGTATCGATACTTTTGACAACCCTAGTCTGAAATGTAGGACATGTCCGGGAAAAAGAGGACGTCTGGTCACCCTACAGTTGGGTAGGCTAGGTAGTTTAGGCTAGGCCATAGACATCGATAAACGTTTGTCATGCATCAACACCAAACAGTAAAATATTAGTAAATCAATACGCTTCGTCTACCAGTGAGTTGCATATTTCGCAAAGGTTTTTATTATTTATATATATTTTTTAAATGTAACTAAATTTTTAATTCTTAATATTTTCGTAAGTAACTGTAACTGAATGACATATTTTCTCATTGTAACTGTAACGAAATTACGGTTACTCTTTTTTTGTAATTAAATTACGTAACGTCATTACATGTAATCCGTTACTCCCCAACGCTGATTATAACCCCTCCCTCCCCACACAGGAGCAGTACCAGTACCTGTACCGAGCCGTGCTGAGCCAGGTGAGCAGCCAGGAGGACCAGAAGGCCCTGCAGAGCTCGGAGACCAACGGATCGGTGCACCTGGGACAGTCCACCATGGCGGAGAGCCTGGAGTCCCTCATGTAAAGAGACAGAACGTGCTCTGGCTTTTTTATCACCCAGTCAAATCCACGCTTTACTTTTTCCGCGTCTGAGGTCACAACTGTGTCTGCTGAGCATCCTGACGCTTTAATATTTTAATATACAATCACTCTATTTTACTCCCTGGACCATTCGCGCTAGTCTTAGCGCTCATGATGAATAGACTACATCAACAGGAGCTCCAGTGACCACCTAAAAAGCTTTTTTTTTTTTTCATGAGCGCGCAAGTTAAAGGGATTTAAATCCGCTTATTTTTTCGGTGTTAGCATGCACAGCAGCCACAGGTCCAGACTCAACCAAACGGCGAGAGCGAATTTCTGATGGAAACTCTCACATCAGATAAAGATTTTAAGATTTAAAGATTTTTTTTTTTTTTTAAACTGGAACATCCTCTCAAAGATTAAAAGAAAGCATTTTCTGCCCTTCTGCACGGGGTCAGTAAGAGAATGGATGACTTTAGTAGTGGTTAATAAACCTTTGGATGCATAGAGTCAGTCACAAAATAAAACTTTTAAACTAACAGGTTGTAAAACCTCAATAGCCAGAGATCAAGTTCAAGTATTTAACTGAGAAAAAGAGTTGAACTTAACATCTTGTTCACTAAAAGTAACGTTTTTAACGTCTTTAAACGGACATTTTTTTCCCATATTAAGGGCTGCGACAGGTGTAAAATGGATTTATGTTCAGTAATCATCACTTATTCCCTAGGGACAATAAGCAGTGTTTACATGGCGTCATATAGTCTGTTAGACAACAGATTCTTTAATAATTCCTCTGATTTCTTACTTTTGACTCTTATACAGATGCTAGAGGGGCAAAATACAGAGTCCGTTGGTTCTCTCACAGAGAGGCAACATTTTAGCGTTTTTTTTTTCTTTAAATAAAGCCCACTCGTGCAAAAAAAAAAATGTTTAAATCACTTTTATAAACACAAAGGGCTGACTGTAGTCCAGAAGTAGAAGAGTAGTCTTTTGCCAAGTAGAATTTCAACGTTTTGACACTCGGCTTTCCTGGACCATACGTGGAACTTTCCCTGGGCAGGATACGGATCCCCACGTCTTTGTTGTGTTTAGGGTACCAACGTGTATGATAGAGACTGAGGAATACAACCTTTAACATTACGGAAGGTGTGTGAAAGAGTGAATGAAACTCATGCGTCGAGTGTTCGGCTTTGCTAGAAAAGTCTAGTCGATTAACACATAAAAATAAAAGCGACATTAGCTGGATTTTACCAGTGTAGAAAGGGCTTGAGTCAAGTAGCAGGTTATCCATGGAACATATCCTAATATATGTTTGGGTACATTTTCAGTCGCCCAGGTTCTGGTAATCCCAAAAGCTTGAAAAAGGGCTATAGATATATACTGCCATGCGAAGGGTTGGAGGATGTATTCTGATATTTGCAATAACTTGAGTTTATTTTCTGGATTCTGACTGGATTAAAGAAGAAATCATCAAAGTAACCAGAAATAGGGCAAGTCCCCTGGTGTCATTTTCCCATTCATTTCAATTGGCAGGAGTAATACCTGCTAGAAGTATAGGTTATGATGCGGGGATAAAGGTCTGAAATGAAAAAAACAAACAAACAGTATATTCAAAAGCCAGATATCAGTGAAAAAAGTATTTTAAAAAGTGTTTTTACAGTCTGACGACTGATATGAATCGTACCAGTACATGATTTATTAACCACTAGTAAACTCAACAGTAACAGACGGTTGGCGGAACCAAAAAGAAAAGCTTCCTTTATTTTCCTCTCTAACTATATCTGATTCTGTTCCTCCTGAGGGAACAGGCAGAAGGCTAAACATCTAAAAAAGAAGTTCATTTAACCACTTGTTAAACATGACTCATTCGAAATCTATGTTATTAGAGATAAACTACTCCCGAGTGGGCTTTTTTTACCAGTTTATTTTAATCGTTTTTTCGCTGTCCATTTATTACCTTGTGTTTTTTCTTTTTTTTTTCTCAAAAGTTAAGATCTTTGAGCATGGATAGATGCCGTAGAACTGAAGTACAAGTGAAGGTAGAATAGTTGGATGACTTCAGTGCTAAAAGACATATATTGGAAGAAATGACATTTTAAACCAAATGTTTATAATACTGCAAAAGCCAGCAGATTTATGTCAAAACTACACTTCATCGGAAAAATGTTTGTTCCAAACCCAGATCTCACGACTGATAATGAACTGACTTCTTGCCAGTGCCTTTTTGTAAACCATGTTGTTGGACTTAAACTCTTAATAGACACCAAGATGGGACTAAAAACGTTCCAAAAGACGGATCACTGCCTTGCAGAGTTAATCCATTTCACATGTTTTGTTAAAGAAATATGCAATTTGAGATTTTAACGTGTTTTATTTTCCCCCGTCAGTGTGGAAATGGCAGCAAAACTTTTCAGGAGCTCCAAACGAAAAATGTACACGTTTCTTGTTTATGCCCTATAATTCAGACGAGACTGTTTTAAGTGTGACAAACCTTCTGTTTATAGACAATTTATAGCGGAGAGAGGAGAATCACTAAGCGGACTGTTGTTTGTTTCTGAAGACATTGTGTGAAGACAGGGTCGAGCAACCACTAAATCACTTTAAAAACAACGAGGCAGCTTCTCTCAGAGTATGATTTGTTGTTTTCAGCTCATCGGGAGATGCCAAACAGCATAGATCCCAAACTAAACCGCAGACCCTGATCCCTATTTTTTCCCTTCACTGGCATCAGACTTTGTAAATATAACCCTGAAGGGCCAAAATTACTGTATGTTTATACTGTACCTCTTTATATTTTCTATTTTACTATAAAAAAAGAGTGATTTTCTAGTCATTTACACACACACAAAACCCACAAATGTGGATTCTATTTGATAATGTTAGCCCAGAATTATTGATCATGTTTATAGTTTTAATGGAATGTTCTGGAATATCTCTTTATCTGTATGTTTACTGTAGCAGCTCCATGTCTGTACTTTTTATCTCCAGTAAAAAAGCTGGTGCTGTATAAATATATATATATATACACACATATATATATATATGTGAAATACATATACAGCAACAGGATTAAAGATTAGTTTGAAACCTTTGTGTGTCTATATTCATTTCCGTGTGGCTCAGATAAAGAACTTAATAGACTAAATAATGAAACCGAACAAATCAAAACACAAGGCAAATTCGAGATATATGACGATTTTTATTCTCACTTTAAATACATTGTGTCTTATTGCCTCCCCCTATTGCTCAACCTGGATATGAAATCATAACAAAGACAAACAGTCAAATTATCAGAAGCACAACCATGAACGGTTACCAAAGATTAAGTCAAACCAAGAAAAAAAAATATATATATATATTTATATTTCTATATAATCATATTAATATTTGTCATTACACATTGTATTGTAGCAGTCACAGAGGATAAAGTGTATATAGTGCATTAAGATTAAACCTCGTTATGCAGTGAGAATAAGAGTGCCCGTCCCTCCTCACGCTCTGCCTCGGAAGCCAAATTGACGTAAAACTTTTATTAATTAAAATTACAAAAGCAGTGGCTGTTTTCAAATGTCTCTTCAGTATTTGAAGTACTATTACTTTCTCAGTACTTTACTGTCTTTAATAAAAAAGGCTATGACCACTGCTCTGTCCATGTCAATGTGGTTTTAAAGAAAAAAGCACAGGTTTTGACAACCTTTCCAAAATAAAAGATAATGGTTGAGAGCCGTCATCTATTTCAATTCAATCTAACATTCTAAAAAGATTTAGCATCTATAATGAAAAATCTTAATTCTACTCATTTGGATGTCTCTAAAGTAGCCTTAAATGACCTTATTTAATTTGGAAGAGATGGCCTTTACGTTTTTAATCATTTAAGTTCATATAAAATATGATGGTTCATAGTTTTTTAATGAGGTCCTAAACCATCAATTCAATAAAAAAAAATGATTTGGTAGTATGCTCATCCTGCACTTCTGGGAGTTTTTATAATATTGGGTCCAATTTAATGCTTTTTGGATTGGTTGTTGCCTTATTGGGTTAATTCTGTCATATTGACATGTTTGCAGGATGTATGGAAATACATTTAAAATGATGCAAAAAGCATTAAATCAAAATGTTTTTTCATACAAAATGTAGACTATTGAACTTTTGATGTATCACTTCATTAGCTTGACAAATTCCCATCCCGACTGTCACTGGATTTTTTAAAAACAGCTGAAATCGTTTTCAAATTCTTCTCCTTTTCCACATTAAACGAAGATGATAAAAACTCACTTTTGGAGATAAATGAGTGGTTCCATATTATTCTTTTTTCCTGTTTTTGAACTCACGGGGGAGGGGAGTTATGTGATAACAATAGATAAGAAGTTCAGAAAAGAGATTTCTAATAGAAATCCATTAAATAAGAGTCTGTGAATGAACCCTCTTCAACCCCACCAGTATTTTTGTATTTTTTAAAATACTTAAAAAAAACATTATGGCACAAAGACGTTAAAATTGACTGTAACTTCTCTAACAATATATAACTACCACAATTCTTTACCCTTAGGTCAATCATGTAAATTTAATCTTTGGTTGTACTTCCATCAGGAAATTCAACCTTTATAAGCCTGAGGGGAGGAAAATGTTTCTTTTTAATGTCCCTTGTGGAGTTCACACAAAAAAAGGCCTCTTTTAAAAAAAAAAAAAAAGTCTATACGATTGTTTTGAAGAAAGAAATTAATTTGATACAAGTCTTGACCCACCCCTCTTTTTAATGTTTTTCTAAAAAGCAGTCTGACTTTCTTCTAATCTTTTAAAGTGATCTTGAACAGTTGTCTTGCAAGTTCGTTTGGACTTTTGGATATTTTTTAGTTCTTGCACCTGCCTGTTTTCAGACAAATGCATTTTTTCTCTATCAAACCTCCTTTTCTATTTTCACTAAATTTGCTCAAATGTCAAAAGCCAATGAAGAAAGTTAGAATGCAATATACCAAGTCATTGAAATATCAAGTTTGACCCTTGTCATTACCAACACTTTTGTAAAAAATATGTAATTTTCTGCAGCTTCTTTACTGCATCTTTAAGAAATACTGAGGAGAGTCAGCACTGTTTTTGTTCTAAAAACATACATGCTTAAGAACTTTAAAAAAAAAAAAAGTATTTACTTTTATTACTATCTATTTTGCTTTGAAATGACAGTATTACTTTTTAAACTGGATTAAGGATAAGTGCTAACATGTGACTTAGAGAGGATTTTCTTTATCTTCCATCAGCACTGAAACCCAGAGTGAGAAATGCCTTGTCATATTTTCTCATCTCCAGCTTTGCTGTTTGGTCTTTTGCCTCATTTATCTCTGTTCTGGAGACATTTCCTCCTTTTCCTTTAGCCCCGGTAATATAGTTCTCTATCATACAGACAACAGACCCTCTCTGTATCTGTCCATTATTTATTGTGTCACCCCCAAATCGGTCAGAGTCCTACAACATTCACATTAGTTCTGTGCATTTACTGTTCCCGCGTTGAGGAATAAAGGTGCTCGGTATGTTTTATTCCTTATAGACTGTATTTCTAAAATGTTTTTAAAACAATTCCAATCAATTTAGGCTTCTGTTTTCCTGCAATTATGAGATTAAATGAGGAGTGGCTCAAGACTTTTGAACAGTGGTGGATGATTTTAGAAATGTAAAATAGGATTTAATTTGAGTAATGCTAGCAAAAAAAATTCTGTTCTTTTCCATGAAAACTCCACAAGCATCTATTACATAAAAAACATCCAAACTAATGTATCCAGCTCCTGTGGCAGTGAAAAAAAACCCCAAGCCCCGTTTATATACTTTGTATACATCTGTTTAGTAACTGAAATATGTGATGAATCACATAGAAGTAATATTAAAATATATATATATCGTATATGTTTGTGCTATAACACTGTGTCCAAATACAGGGTATACAAGCAAGAAAATAAATTGCATATTTCTATTTGTACAACAAAGAATTTTGGGAAAAAAAACGCTACATTTCCTACTTTGGCTAGAACACTATAGCACCACAACCATCACCTGTTTCAAGCATAAGATGAGAAACTGAAAATGATCAGAGTCTCCTTTTTTTTTCGTATTGTCACATTTTGTGTAAAAATGATTCAAAGTCAAAACCCGCTGATGTGATTCATCCGTCGGTTTGGAAAAACAGGGCGCGAGACACTACACTCCCGTTAGAATTCCTATGAAAATATGATCACACGTTTAAAAATGTGTTTGCTAAAGCAGTCAAATCTTTTTTTCGTTTGTTTTTTTTTTTTTTTTACCGTAGATTTGGAGAGCTCGAGATTAAAACAGAATGCAGAACTGAATTGCGGTATTTTGGCTCTGCGTGACTTCTACGTGTGTGAGCAAGTGTGTGTACTCCCGCAAGCTCGGTGGGTCGTCCCCTTTCCTTCCCCGCTGCCTCAATTTCCTTGACAACCCTGCGGAATGAAGAGAAGGGGAATCAGAAATGGACAAACCAAAGTGGGATCCTATATTTTAAGATAGGGCTTAAAATGTCAGGTGAGTGTTCTTTTCCATGAGCCACACCAAAGACTTTTCAAAAGGAATTTTTGAGAGTAAAAAATGTGTTTTTGATTTAGGCTGGCACGGAATGGCTATTGCCAATGTGTAATTAACACCAAAGAATTTAAAACAATTTTAAGGGCGTGGGTGTGTGTGTTTGTTTACCATACACAAAGAGGATCAGTGAAGTACACACCAATTTTTAGGGAAATCAATTTTTCCTCACAGGTAAAAAGTGATTTTCAAAGGTAGAGACAGTTTTAGGGTCAGGGTTTAACCCTTTAAAGCCTGATCCAAGAATAAAACAAAACAGAAATTTACTTTTTTTTTGGTTTTAAGTCTTTATTTGGCCTTTTAACGAAATATGTAAACAGAAAAAACAAGAATTTTTAATTTATATTAATATTTATTACTATGCGATAAGTCAAGATTATTTTTTATGTAGTCTTATGCCCCTTGTCATCAAGTGTATCTGATTGTGTACAATAGGATTTTGAGCAAAGTTTTAACCATTAAATTATTCTAAAGGTGTCAGACGCAAAACATTTCAGAAACCGTCTGTATCAAATATGATACATTTGGCATTACAGGGTTTAAATGCGATGGGTACATTTGGGATTAAAGGCATGGGTTTTTTTGGCTTTTATTGGTCCCGAAACAGCATACGTGTGAATGCGCGTGTGTGTCCTTACAGAGTTGGTTCTTTTGCGTTTCCAGCAGTCGGGGTTGAGTCGTTTCTGCTCGTCGGCGAGCGCTTTGGCCTGCAGCGTGAACGCCCGCCGCTCCTCGCTCCGCATTTTCTTCCACTGCTCGCCGAGGAGGACGCTGATGGCTCTGCGGCGCAAACAAGCATCAGCACACACACTGAATGCGGTTATACACAACGCCGTTTTTCAGTGGTGGGAAGTAACGAAGTACAAGTACTTCGTTACTGTACTTAAGTACAATTTCCGTGTATCTGTACTTTACTTAAGTAGATTTAATAATGGATACTTTCTACTTTTACTCCACTACATTTAACAGTAAGTATCTGTACTTTCTACTTCACTACATTTCTATACAGCGTTTCGTTACTCGTTACATCCAAGACGCATTTCGTCTTGGATGTAGCGATTTTTTGTTTTTTTTATTTTTTGTTTTTTGATTTGTTCGTTAGTTTGAAAGTATCCAATGGCGAGAGCAGAATCAGCCCGCTGAACCAATCCAAAGCGGGAAATAACCATTAGGCCCTCCCTCAAGAAGAGCAGCACAGTACGCAGGACCTGCATAAAATATCTAAATCTAAACTGTCACAGGGGGTAGACACAATAAAAACATGCTTTATCTGCAGCGTTGCTCATTAAAATGGTACATTACTGATTTATTAAAACCAAATACGATAGGTACACTTAATGACATTATATAAGCCGTTAGGTATTATGGCTGGCAAGTACTTTTACTTTTAATACTTAAGTAGTTTTAAAAGCTTGTACTTTCTTACTTTTACTTAAGTAAAATAATAATGTGGTACTTTGACTTTTACTTGAGTACATTTTTGTCTGTGTATTTGTACTTTTACCTGTTGTCCTTGCCCGGGTACATCTGAGTGTACTCCACTCGGAACTTCTTGGCGAACAGCATGAAGGCGTTCATCGGCCTCTTGCATTTGGTTGGCGAAGCACTGTCTTTTCCGCCTTGTGCTTTGGCCAACTGGTTCTTCGTTAGCTTCTGATGACTAGAGTGGGAATGGCTTTGACTGTGGACATCTGTGTAATGTAAATGGGTTCACATTAGACCTTAAGTAATTTTCTTTTGTTTCAGCTTGACTATAGAAATAACCTTATATTTACTGTTTGAATGACTTTTTCTCTTCACAAAATGCATTATGTTAGTGTTTTTATTCATTCAAGAGTTATTTCAGGTTATATGGAGACATTGCTAATGCATAGGGCCCGTAAATCTATCTGTCTAGATAAAATGATCCATCTGTACTCTGTATTTGCTTTAGTTTATCATAAATATAGGTACAAGAATGAAATAAGCTGCGGTTTCTTGTGTTTTTGTAGCAAAATAAGGTGTCAATTCCTGTGAGGAAAAGCATGGCAAACTGGTGGAGTGTCAAAAAGAATGTACACAGAGACAAATGAAATAAGAAACATAGAAACAACACATTCCGAGGTTAGAGATAAAGTCTTGTGGGGGAAGTGACACACTGAGTTTGTGGAAGTCCTGCTCTAGTTCAGTTAGTCTTGGATAGATGCTTGTTTTGTTTTTTTAGCTGCCCAGCTGTATGGTACGCCTCATGACATTTGGCTAGAATTAAATTAGCATGAATCCACTGTGTTATCCTGTGCTGGTTTAAGTAAGTAAAGTAAATAAAGGCTAATTTGTGTTGATCACGAGCTAATTTATTTCTCAATTTGTTTTTCTATGTTTTGATTTACAAGAATTTGTGTTTCTATGAAAACTTGAGGTATGGTTTTGGTTTTAAAACATAAAGAAAGAATTTTTCAAAACAACATTTATTTTTTATTTTTAATATTAGCAGTTATGTTTTACCTTAAGTGGCTCAACGAAGGATTTTTAATCTAATTTTCTTTTTTATTGTTGATCGTCTAATAGATTACTAATCTGTCCACTGTTGGCAAACGGTCGGGGGCTCTTTTCCTGGGCCCCCTTGAAGCTATAAACGGCCCAGATCAATCCAACATGTGAGTAAGAAGAATGTAGGACATTTGAAGTGCGAGACCTGGCAGAGGTTCCCTGTTTGGAGAAACAGCTCCCCCACTGGACTGAGAGGCACGTCGCCGCCGGGCCATACTGCTCAAAACGTACACGGCAGAGGAGTCCAGAGGAGTGAAATCGTAACTGCAGAACAGCCACACACAAAATATAATTCAATTTCATACCAGGCGTCATGTATTTAAAGACTTCTCTCAAAGCTCTTTTTCATAGTCGTGAAACTTACATCAGATTCTAAGGTGTAACATATCCAAACACAATAAAAACAATCTAGATCTATTACTCAGAATTAAGCCAATGCCACAGAAGATAAATAACACATGAAAGATCAGACTGTAACAGTTAAAAGACGAACTAATGTAAGATAATGATGAAGAAAAACAGTCCTTTCTGTGATTCAGTTGCTAGTATAACCTTCTTAATTTGCAATCTAAAATCAAATAGTTTCTTTAAAGATACCATCGGTCTCTAAGATCGTTATGGTGGAGTTTCTATGGTTTGTTTCCAATTACTCCATCCAGCATTCCATTTATAGTCTTTCTGGGGTCTGGACTTGGAGTGGGACATTGCAATACCTCGTTTCCTTTCTTTTCTGTTTTAGATTCTGTTATCAAACAGTCGCCTTGGCATTCAACTCTAGAATCCTATCACCTCCAGGGGAGTTCAACCGTCAACTGTCTTCTGTCATGAATTTTTTCCACTTGGAAATTACAGTATCTCCCAATGCAAAAGGATGGACTCTATTGGTTGAATTAATTTAAACATTCCCAGACGGATGGACAGCAGCAATAGCTGCTTTTAAATTTTTTATCTGCTTTTATAAAAGTACTGACATTTGTTTTTTATCACTTAATCAGGCAAATTTGAAAAGCAGCCCCCGTATCTTACTTGATCTCTTTATTTCTTGTAGTCTTCCGTTTAAACTGCGCTCAGTGTTAGTTGTGCTGAGAAATCATACACACTCTCCACGGAGTTATTTACCTTTTGAATGTGTCAAAGACCAGTGAATCATCCGTGTGTTTGGCATCTCTGTGTCCCGGAGGCAGACACAAGTCTCCTACTTCCATTTCGTAGCACGGTATCCCATAATGCACCACGGTCAAGCTGGGGTAGAACGAGGACCAACCTAAAAGAAAAACAGACGCAGTTTGAACAGAGACGATTGATGATTTGTTGCCCGAACAGTTGTTCCTCCTCAACCGGACGCATACCTTTATTTTTGACATAGAAGGGATGATCCAGTTGGCACTGTGCCGTGATAGGGGTGTGTCCAAATACTCCAGGGTCAAAGGTTAGCTGCAGGACAGCCTGACCGGACAACACGATCTCCTCCTGCTCCACTAGTTGCAGACCCTCAGAGCCATAACTCTGCAAAAAGAAGTTGTTTTTTGAACATGCTTAACATAAAAGATTAAGTTAAAAAAAAAAAGTTTTCGGTAAAATCACCTTTAGATATCTGGACCGCTCCTCATTGGCACAATCTTTCTCACCGGACTCCAGGTCTTCAACGTCCTGCCACGCCACGTTGGAACTACTGTGAAAACGCATGCGGGTTCCTGACAAACAAAGAACACATCTACGTCACATTTTGGACACAAGTGGGACACAGAATGGGTCAAACCTTTAAGAACACCTTATGTGAAATAATTAACCCTTTAAAGCCCGATCCAAAAATAAAACAAAACAGAAACGTACTTTTTTTTTGGTTTAAGTCTATATTTGGCCTTTTAACAAAATATGTAAAAAGAAAAAAACAAAATACATTTTTAATATTAATAATTTATTACTATGTGATAGGTCAAGATTATTTTTCGTTTAGTCTTCTGCTCCCTGTTATCAGGTGTATCTGATTGTGTAAAATAGGATTTTGAGCAAAGTTTTCACCATTAGATTATGCAAAAGGTGTCAGACGCAAAACATTTCAGAAACCTTATGTATCAAATATGATACGTTTGGCATTACAGGGTTAAAAAACTCATTATTTTCTGATGGCTGATCATTTCCATTCAAAAAAGTTTTAAACACAGTTTAGAAATTTCTCGGTCAATACAATTAACTGGTGCCCAAAATAAAACCACAAGTCCTCTCATTGGCTTTTAAAGCTCTCAGTGATCTTGCCCCATTGCACTTTTCTGAGCTAATTTGCACGTAAACGCCGACTTGTTCTCTAAGGTTTTTGCTCCAGAATGTTCCGAAAAACGGGCGTTTACCCGGAGGGAGCTGATTTTTTGCTGTGGTTGCACAAAAATGGTGGAAGGAGCTGCCTTTGCATGGTAGAGAGGCCTCTTTTATGTTTGCTTTTAAGTCTAAAAACCCATCTCTTATCCTCTACTTTTCGGCTTGAGAAAAGGAAGATCTTGCTGACTTGCTCCTTATTTCGCTTCCTGTTTTGCAGACACTAGCCGGTTATGGGCAAGAGAACAGAGAGAGGATGGAGTGAGCGATACTGTTCTCTGTATTGAAAGTCATCTTAGTTTTTTATAAAAGAAAATTAACACACAGGAATGATACGTAACAAAAATATTCATAGATGGGTTATAAAATCTAGTCCAGAATTGCTTAAACTTTTGATTGGAATAAGCAGAAAAAGAAGAAAGCTAAAGGAATTTCATGGCAAAAAAGAGGATTTAAAAGTGGAAGAAATGTCTAAATGCTAAAAAAGTAAATAAAAATAGGTATGTCTTTAAGGGTTTCATCAATGTTGAAGAAGAAAACTTGTGAAAGAGGGAAGGTGCAGATAGACTGTGTGTGTGTATGTATGTGTGTGTCTCTGTCTCTCTTACTACCTTTAAGGAAACAGTTCCAGGTGGTAGGTGGGCAGGAATAACTCCAGCCCATGTCCTCATCGTCAGACAACGAGGACGACTTGGTTGATACCGCAGAGCCACATTCACTGCTTGCCTGTTAGAACAGGAAGTTAAAAAAAACACATCAGCACGGCAGAAACTGAAACAGCAGCTCCGAACTTCAACCAAAAACAGTGACAGAAGAGTGTAGATATAAAAAGAAACAAAAAGAAAGGAAAAGTGGCTCCACCCTGCTGTGCCTGCGCTCCCTGCCGTGGCCTCTGGGGGGCGCCGCGGTGCTGCTGAGGAGTGTGGGGGGGGGCCGAGCGTAGGAGTGGAGATCACTGCTGGAGCCGGGGATGCAGACTGAAGAAGAGCTGAAAGGGACAGAAAGAGTCTACATTTATAGACAACCACAAACAAGATCCTACGAGTCCTCGTCACATCCATTAGCTAACACGTTTTAGAGCTAAATTGTGTCCCAGTAAGTTGTTTCATAGTAGTCTTAAACCCAGACAGTAGTTTTAGCTACTTTTAACTCTGTCTTTATCAACACTGTGATTTTTTTTTTTGTGAAACACAGTTGCTTGTATGTGATTCAGAAGGGTTTGTTTCCTTTAGCAATAATAATTCCTTTTTTAATTTCATATTTTGTTCCTTTTTTTTCTCTTTTTTTTTGTCTTTTCCTGTCCCCCGGTCAGGTTTGGCATTAACTATCTTACTTCTGTAGCAAAAATAAATATTAAATAAATAAAAAAGCAGTATTGGATGATCAAGGGAGGCTTCTCACCCTGACAGGCCTCCCTTTGTAAAGCAAAAGTGTCGGGCACGACACTCAGAATATAATTCTGTTGCCATAATGCTAAACACGACAAAGGGTTAAAAAACAAAAACAACAAAAAAACGAAAAAGCAATAATGAGAAGGTCCTATGTAATTTACATGCCACTGACAATATAAGGCGTATAAGACGTGTAACAGTGTGTAAGATTCGAGTTTAGTTTGTTAGGGACGCGTGAAGCAAACCTACTTGTTGGGAGTGGGTTCCTGTAGCAGCGGGCTCTGCGGTCCAGTGGCGATGTGGGCCAGCTGTGTGAGCCAGAGCGCGTCCGGAGGATGGCCCCGGCCTGACCGGGGGGGTTTGGGCCGCTCCTGGTGCGACACGCCGACCTCCAGCTGGTAAACGGGCTGCGCTGTAGGCTCTTCTACAACTTCCTGCAGGTCTGGAAGATCGTCTGGGGGCGGGTTTAGACAGAGAACAGCTTAAAAAAGATTGTTTCAGAAATGTTTTGATTTAATTCAAAGAGAATCTGGATGCCACGAATCATTCCATAGGTGAGATGCAGCTCTTGGGTTATTTTTTTTAAGTTTCTCTGAAAATGGCATGGTCTGTGATTGGCTTGAAATGACTCTAACTTTGAATCCTGGAACAATTGGTACATATAGTTAAATTAATAAATGAATGGGTTTAAAAACACCTGGTTTCTTTCCTTCTCAGCTTCGTGTTAACACACACCTGAATGCTCCGGAGAAGCGGAGTGCCAAAAAAATAAAATAAAATGAACTTTTACAGAGATGATTATAATTACTATAGATCCGTTTATAAAAAAAATTGATTATCAGCATCTGGCTGCTTCTTACCCTCTTTTTTCCAATGGAAACAGTAAGTTTTGGCCTGATTTTTCAGACACATATTCTGAATTTATCTTAGTTTATGCAAATTATATTAAGAAATATAGGAATATATTGTAATATGTATTTTCTTGTAGTTCATTGAATCTTTTTATATGTTAATATCTAATGAGGGCAAGAAAAATTTTAGAAAGAGTTTACTTTGAATGCTTTATTACATGACTGCATACCGTATTCCATGTAACTGTCGCTGGTCGGGAGGCCAGGTGAGGAAGGGAAGTGTTCGTCGCAGCGCAGTGGATCAATTGATTGGTCCCCATCTGATTCTACCATCATTCTTTAGGTAAAATGATGAAAAAAGAACACTATATCACTGGGAGAGAGGTACACTTGGCTGGTTAGGAGCTTAAAAAAGCAAACGTCAAGCTACTTTTGGAGTTGTTTATTAATGAAAGTAGCTGTTTGCTGCAGAATGTGGTATGGAGAACCATTGTAGAATAGCTTATTGTCAGCAAAGAGAGTGAAATGCTGGATAAACCTGTGGTTACCTGTGTGTTCCGCCTGGGACTGGGCCTCTTGCATGTTGCGATAACTGGTCTGGCTCGAAAGTACAGCAGGAGTCACCACCTCCCACACCATGATGCACACACACTAAAACACAGAATTGATGCAGGAGATGACACACAGGAAGGGGAACGACTAAAAGCTAAAAGTATTTGGTCATTAACCCCCATCCCCCAAACACACACAAACATTATAATAGAGAAATAACCTTTTCACTGAGCTGAAGTGTGCAATCTTTATCCAGTTTGAGCTGATGTATGTGTGGATACCTCAAACACAGCTCATTTTTCTTTTTTTCAGTTGCAAAACATTTCAATTGCAAAAAGGCAACCACTTAGATAAACGCGAATTACACTTTCATCTATTTCATAATGTTCTCATCATGTGACTACGTCTTGTTTATAAACTTTGAAGAACAACCCGCATGCGCAGTGAGAGCCCATTCATTCAATACTGAGAAGGACAGCGAAACACTGTTTAAGCAAGCAGTTAAAAACACGAAGCAAGGCACCCTTAAATAAAGAAACCAACCGTTTAACAGCATCCAATAACACGAAAATAGACGAATATAAATGTTTTGTCCGTTTGTACCACTTTAGAGGAAGTTGTGTTGTGGTGCTAATTGTAACGAAACAAAGTTGAAACCAAATTGCTATCGTCGTCTTAACACGACCCGAAGCTTTGGTTTCTAAGCTATTACTAACGGTTTAACGTCTCCGGACAACATTCGGAGTGGAAAAATCTGACGGTAGGTAGACTGACACGGATGAGCCATCTGTTGCGCAAAAGACATTACAACAAAACAACTAACGTCAACAATGAAGCTACGGGATCCGAGCACCGAAACAGCTTTTACAGCCGAACACAAACGTTGTCAGCTTCAGGTTTTTGCCCCCGCCTGGAGTTCAATGAAAAATAACTCAAACTGCGCTATGACTTCGTGATATAAACGATTTAAAACACATAAATGATTTCAATGAACTTTTCTTAACTCACCAAAACAGTCGCCTTGTACGGAAAAAGAGGGCTGGTATAAACATTATGTTCTCAGTGTTGCTATTGGACAAACCTTACGTCAATCTTTGGCTGCTCTGGCTCTTATTGGTCAGTCCTTGCTCTTTATCATCACCACCAAAACAATAAAACACTGGGTGGGAAGACTTAGTGAAAAATGGCTCGAATCCAGAGATGTCACAAAGAACTTGGGTTCATGAAATATTTTCGTTTAGCGTTGTGGAATTAATTACCCAAAGTGTTTCTTCAAAGCAGAATTTCGGAGAAAAACCACACTGTAAAGGCCTCTTATCTAACAATCGCGTATTCCAAATGTCACTGTAACATAGTGTTTTTAACGCTCTCTGGTGGACAAAGGGAATCACTTCAACGCAGCACCATTAAGAATTGATTACATAACGATTATTTCTGTTTGAATCCTTCAAACCGAGGCCAACTGCATTTTTAAAACTGTATAAATAAACACACTCGAACCAAAGATGGGAAAAAAGTGATTGATCATCACAAGCCATGATAAACTTTGCCTTTTGAGAATCTCTATGTATACCTCGCATAAATGTAACTTGAATATTAGGGACACAGGATGCCTTAACAAGCTGGTGGAAACAAAGTTCTCTAGTCGACGACAAATGCATCCGTTTCCTCGTGCGAGCTAATGTTGATGTAGTTAGTCAATTTGACCACACGAGGGCAGTAAACACACACAATCTAATTTAAAACCCCTCAATGTCAAGCCAGATATTGACACGAAGAAACAAAAGAAAAAAAATCACGATGGACTTTTGGAAGATAAAAGCGTTTATAGGACGTGTGTTAGAGATTTGTTTGCAAGGAAAGATTGTTAAATGATTTCTTCTCTACAGTTCCACCACATAAGGCCTTTAATTTCATACTATACCACTGGTAAAGTATGGGTTTCAGTTTGTGAATTATAATGATTTATTTTTTTGTTTAATCTGCGTTTTACTTTGGAGGCAAACCGGAAGTTATGCTCCGTTTCCGACTCCACAACTTTAGCCGGCGAAATTGACAACGCTGTCAAATAGAAGTGCATCATTTCCTCAAAGCAGCCAGTGGACTCAAACTTTTCTAGAGAATACTCACACTTTTTATACCCTGGTTGTCGGCGTCGGTACTTTAGCATAAATGCCGACATCTGCGTTCAAAGCACCGGGTTTAATAACCGTCGGCGTTCATTGGTAAGTCACAAAAAATACTTTTTTTTTTTTTTTTTGCGTGTGAGTGTAGAATAACGCCTCTCCTTCCGATTATTGTGGCAGCTGCACCGTTACCCCAGTCTCGAGCTCACGCGCTGCTCTTTTTTAAATTGTCATTCACTCTTTTAAAGGGTTGCTAATGGCCAATTTGTGAAAGCGGGTCCGTGTTTAGAAATGTTTCTGACCCGGTCGTCAAAGCAGCAGGCCATGTCACAGTGTGTTGTGTTATTTCGCTCCATGCCACTTTAGTTTTGCTTCCTGCTTTTTGAAGCTTCCCCTGTCGGTGCGAAAAAAAGCTCAAACGAAATCCCCGTAGCTTCCGACCATTTATAGTAAAACCAATTTAAAACAATAACTAAAACTTTATGTAAGTTTGGCATTATTATTAAAGGTGAAAAAGCTGCTAATTGTAATTGTCTTCTTGTAAAGAAGTCGTCGAGCCAAATTTCTAGTTTAGCCACAAAGTAACCTTTTACTCAGCTCTACTTTTGCTCAGAAATTTGAGATAAGTCAAATAAGTCTATATTTATTTTCTGGCAACAAAAATATGCAGAAGAAAGATGATACAAAACCAATCTTTCACTTGAGGTTTATAAATAAATATTGATAATAAATGGCACATCATATATTCATTTTTTTAAGTAACTTGTGTCTGTTTTAAATATATACACATAACCCACTTAATGAAAATGTGATTTAAATAATAATTATCAAATGAAGAACCAGAAATAAATGTTCTCTTTATTTTGGTTAGTTATTATGTCCCACCCCAGCTTCCTATTTCCACAGAAAATTGACCAAGTTTCAGAACCAGGGCTTGCACAAAACAGGTTCTATGAATATTTCTGGTTCAAGGAATTAGGGTGTATAATGGTCGAGAGCTGCCAAAGACACCAAAGGGTTCCCTTTTTGACATATTGGCCCAGTAATGGGCAGGAATTTTCTAGCTGTTTTCATTTAAAAGTGAGTTTGGCTTAGGCAGCTTAAAGGAAACATATTGAACCGAATGGAAAGAAACAGAAACATGGATTTATTTCTGATGGAAATGGTGGAACGTGAGCCTCTTTTCAGCTTCAACAAGTTTTTGAATCGCTTCTTTTGACTCCAGTGTGAAGTGTTGTGGAAGACAACATCAGGATCATCCATTTCTCCACATTTAAGATACATTTGTAAATGTTTCCTGCATTCTTGTTTTTTTTCTCCGTGGTGAAAAATGCGTTTCACATTTGGAGTCAGAAACAGGCTCCTAAGGCCATCAGAGGTTGATCTTACTAACCTCTTAAGCTTGCAAACAATGGCAGAGACCTGTTTTTGTCTTATCTAAAGGTAGACAGCACGTTATCCTGATATGGAAAGATTACAGTGGATTTTTATTGAAATGTTCATCACTCAAAATAGACCTGAGATTTATCAGGTCTATTTTGAGTGATAATAAAGTCATTAAAAAATAAGTATATCAATATAAATTCATGACTCAGAAGTCAGTTTACTATATATGTGTGTGTATTTTACTGTTACTGTTAGAATGGACATTACATTGTAATTTTCCAAAGCATTTCCCAACATGTAATTCATCTTTTTAGATGAATTGAAATCTGGATATGGATAAAAAAAACTACACCCAGTTGATTTGCCACCATAAAGCATGTGATTTAACAACCACGTAGAGCATAACACCTTTTTAGTTTATTTTGTATGTTAGACCAAATTGTTTAACATCTGAACACCTTGCAGTGGATCAGAGGGTCAGTGGTTCAGCCCTATTGTCCTCCAGGCCACGAGTACTTGAGCAAGTCTCTGAACCCCAAGTCGCCTACTGGTGTGAAAGTGGGTGTGAATAGGAGGAATTACAACATGGTGTGAAGCTCTTTGAGTGGTCAGTCCAACTGGAAAGGATCCATATAAGTACACATCCATTTGCCATTCATTAACCATTAAGGGCTGAAATTAAAACAAGAGTTGTACGAACAGATCAGACATATGCGTGGCTATGGATTAACCATGTGCTGGATGTCATGTCCATCTAGGTGATGGACAGACAGCAGTTCCAACTGAGCGACGAAGAGTGCGAACGACCTCGAGAGGAAACCCGGAGACGGAGAAGAAAGAAGGCCATTACATCCTCCTCCTGCTCCTCCATGGATCAGATCTCGGTTGAGTTTGTTCTTCCCACCGTGGGGCGGGGCGGAACGGGCCCTGACACTCTGCTGCTGGAGGTGGCCGGAAACTGGACCGTGGAACAGGTTTGGCCGAAGCAGGGTTGAGATGGGCACACCTTTTTGGTGACCCATGAGTGACGCGTGTCTTTTCCCCTTCCTCGTCGTCTAGGTGAAAGCTCAGGTGTGGATGAAGGCGGTTACTCTAAACCTACATCCGGAATTCTATCAGCGATTCTCTCCCGACCACTGCATCCTGCTCTATCAGAAGAAGGGCACTGTTTGCGAGATCTACGACAAGCACCAGGTCTTCCAGACGCTAGATTGCATCCGCTACTGGAGAGGTATCGCACCGCTACGTCCGGGAGGCCGAAGGTCTGGAAATGAGTTTGTGTTCAAAGACGATGTTGACGAGTCGTGTTTTTGTTTTCGAAAGCCCTCAAAAAGGACGTGGGGCGGATCCAGCTGGTGCCCCGCCCTCAGCCCCCGGAGGAGTCTCTGCAGTACCAGCGTTTCCTGAACTACCTGATTGGCTACGATGTCACCGACGTCAGCAACGTCCACGACGACGAGCTGGAGTTCACACGCCGGAAGCTTTTCACCCCGAGGCGCATTGAGCTGTCCGAACGGGACCCAAAGCTTTACTCCATGGACCCCTGGGTGACCTGCAAGCCACTCCCCGAGCACCTGCTCTCCAAAGTGTGTTTCAGCTATTTGAGTCCCTGATTAATGATCTGCCTCTACCATGTACAGGGAGGTTTCTCTCTTAACATGTTTTACTTGATTAGAATACATAAACTGCTAAATACATTCGTAATAATCTATCGTATAGTCCAAACCCAGCCCATCACAACCTAAGGCCTTCCCCTTATCTGTGTTCACCATTTTAGAACTTCAACAAGTGGTTTCCAGCAAACCAATGAGTCCCCACTACTTTCAGAATGTGTTCTTTAATGGAAATCTTTCAAAAATAACAGAAGTATATTCAGATGTGCTTTTTTTTTGGTTTGGATCAAACTCTTGACTGACCCATCTTGTGCCAATTTAAAGCAATTCTATCTTCTTTTCCATAATTTCAAGTAGTGTAGGTAGCTCTTTCCTTTTGGAAATCATGGCTATATAGTCATGCAAATGGGCCTAACTGCACTTATTTAAAGGCTAAGTGAGCATATTCTTTTTTTCCTCAATCGAAAAGAGATGCCAAATACCTGCAAAAAGCAAGGGTTGGGCCAAGGACAGAAATTAGGACCTGTGGTTTTTAGCTACAAGCATTTAGTTTTCCAAGCAGTGTATCATACAGTCAATACATTCTACAAGTGCTTAATTAACAGTCCCAGTCTCTTTTTACTGGAGGTTTTCCATTAGTACCTACTCAGCTTGACTTATTTCACTCCACTTTCATTATTTATTTATTTTTTGCATTTCATTTATGGGCTTGCGTCTCGTAACATTCGCAATAGCATCACCCACTTGGCCGGGGTTACAAGTGGGCTTAGCAGGCCAGGGAGTCACATGACTGGATTAATCATGAAAGCAACTCTTTCACGAGAGTGAAAGAGTTTTTTAATAACACCAACACAGCAAAAATCCAATTTCATGATGAATGGGATCATCAAGGTAGTAAATCTCTAAAACATGGACCAACACCACCGTTCAGCCAGTATATCTTTGCTGCAATGTCCTGCATTGTTGTGTCCTGCTTGTGCTGCACACAAATTGCATCCCTGGCCAAGATCCGTGTTTAGGTGAGCAAATCCAAGTAGGACTGAGTAGGTGCTAATGGAAAAGTAAGAGTTTTATTTGACTAAAGAGAATAGAAGTTTCTTATTTGCTCCAAAAAAAAAAGATAAGAATTTTTTTTTTTGTGTCTTTCATGCAGTCAAGTTCTTTTACTTTTTTCCACCTCCCAGGTGAATAATGGGCACGCTCTGGTGGTAATACACGCCAGCACAGCCAGCCAGACCATCAAAGTCTCCATTGATGACACGCCTACGCAGGTAGAAAAACATATTATGAGATATTTACTAGTTACAGTTATGTTACAGTCCTGTTTTCTCTCATGTTTGCTGATAATTTATTTATTTTCTTTAGGTATTGGCAAGCTTTTTTACAAAAACTGCAAACAAAAGGTCTTTGTTTGGAATCCCTGACAACACGTGTGAGGCAGATTATGTGCTGCGTGTGTGTGGCAGGTAAAAAAAAATACTTTAAAAAAAAACCTTACTAACCCAAACGAAACAAGTTAAATATAAAACCAAGGTGTAGTAACAAATTATTTGTTGATGTATCTTTTGTATTATTGTGCTTCTGGCTATCATTATATTACCTTTGAGAGACTCTAACTCTCTTAGGTGCTCTTTTAAAACTAAATTATGTTAAAATCATTAGTTTAAATAGTCATAACAAGCTCCTTCAGTTGTTTCTTTTTTCCCAGTCTCTACATTTTCATCTTCTATTTCCCCATTCCAATTTTTTTTTAAACTTACCATATCACCCACTCAGCAATTATTTTCATGAAGTATTTATATTTACATTTATTTATTTCATGGTATTGAATCGATGTTAATTTTTCATGTTAAACATATTAAATCTTTATCTGGTCTCACAGGGACGAGTACCTGTATGGTGAAAAACCCCTGCAGAACTTTAACTGGATACGTCAGTGCCTCAGGAACGGGGAGGAAATCCACCTTGTTTTGGAGACGCCACCTGACCCCGAACTGGACCTGGTCCTAAAAGAAGATTGGGCACAAGTGGACGACTGTACTGGAGTTGCGGGTAACCTTTAATACACAGCTTTTGTAGTTAATTAGAAAATTGCCAGCCATTATCATACCTAACTGTCCTCACTTTTCGTCCTAGGTACTCATGAGCAGTTGACAATCGATGAGAAAGAGCATGAACGGGTGTTCACCATTTCCATGTGGGATTGTAACAGGAAGTTCAGAGTAAAGGTGTTGGGTATCGACATCCCAACCCTACCGAAAGTACCAGAATTTATAGTCTTCATAGAAGCCAGCATATTCCATGGGCAGCAGCTTTTAGCCCAGGTAACACAGCCAAAACAGCACCACTCTTAACACAAAACAGAAATCAACATTTGTTTTATCAAAGCTTTGTACTTTCTGATGCCCATTCTGTGCATTTGTTCTCTCTGCTATCTAACTAATCACAAGTCCAATTAGTCCAATTACGTAAACGTGGTTGTTTTCAACTGAAACCTGGACTGGTTGTGACCATAGTGCACCGTGATTAGATCCAACTTGAAGACATCCTTGTGCAAATCTTCATATATACATGGACTCTTTCTGTAAGGGCAATAGCTTATTAGTCAAAAACAAATTATGTCACTTGTGACTATGTCACCAGAACCCAAGGGTAACTCTATATTCTTTATGTACATTGTTTTTTAATGTAAAATAGACAAAATTGGAATTCAGAAGTTTGCGTGATCAGTAAGATCGCTCAGTACCAAAGTTGTGGTTGAGCAGTCAAAAGTGAGGCTTAAAACTATGTGAAAAAACAATTAAAACCAGTAATTCTGGGTGGCCCAGGGTTTCTTGTTTTTTTTCTGTCAGCCTCACATGCATGCTAGGAATGGCATCAAAATTGAGATATATTGCCCCGGAAAGCTTGACTTCCAAATCTCCAGTTTGATCCTCAATCATATCTTTTAAGGAGAGGACTACTACCAAAACTTTCAATGAAGAAGTGCTGTGGAACTGCTGGTTGGAGTTCAACATTAAGATCAAGGACCTGCCTAAAGGGGCACGCCTTAATCTGCAGGTAAACCCTCTGGATCTTTATTTATTCAATTTTGTTGTTTATTCAATTTCCCTTTACTAAGGGAAAAGTGTGCTTTCTCAGTTAGGCGGAGGTCACATTACCAGCTGAAAATGTATTTGTTCTATTTAGGTCATTGTTAATCTTTACTTCATAGTACTATAGAAGCATTTGCACCTGTGTTTCAAATTTGATCTTGTGAGAAATATCAGCAGTCACGCAATCAATTAACACATGGCTATAAGTGGACATTTGATCCATGTCCATTGACAGCCTTCCCTGCCCAGTCCATGATACTTACTCCCCCATGTTTTTTTTTTTAGAACTTTATTGCCTTTAAATGCAGATTAAATGCATCATACAGGGAAACAGAAAGAGGCACTCCCCCATGTTTAACACAAGATGTGTTACACTTTGGACTTGTCTTTCCAACATATGTTTGTGTTTTCACTGTCGTTCCACACGGAATATACTTACATAAAACCCTTGTAGTATCGACTGTAGTAAAGTGCATTTATTTTCTAAGATTGCTATGCTGTAAATCTGAAAAACAGCAGCAAGAGTTAAATTAGAGTAACAAACTAGTCTGAAAACCTGCCAGATACTATTAAAAGGCTCAAAACGAGTATCACACTGAGAGTTCCAATCTTGAACGCTTTATTTTAAGTATTTGGCAGTCGAGTACAAAAATAGAATTTTATTTGTTCTTTATCAAGCATTTATGGAACTGACCGTGTTTTGGTTGGATAAAAGTTTACTATACATGAATCTTTGTGTTCTATAAGTTGTAAAAAAGCTTACTTTAGAATGATAATGCTCCACTCAGACTTATATTTTGCACCCAGGTGATCTGTGGTAAGCAGCCCCAGGCTTCGAACCCCAAAGGTTCCTACCAGGATAACACCTCAGGAACCAGCAGCCTCGATGGTAAAATCCTTTCACATTTTTTCACCAATCTTATCGAAACTTTCAAAGGCCTCATTGTGTCAGTCTCTCCACCTTTCAGGAAAAAACAAGAACCGCGTCCTGTACTACGTCAACCTGCTTCTCGTCGACCACCGCTCTCTGCTCCGCCAGGGCGAGTTCATCCTCCACATGTGGAAGATGCCCGAGAAGAGCGAGGAGAGCAGCAGCAGCATCAACGCCGACAAGCTCACCTCCGCCACCAACCCGGACAAGGCCTCCTCCATGGCCATCGCCATTTTGCTGGATAAGTACTGCTACCCCGTGGTGCTGCCCAAGAGCAGGGACCTGAGCAAGGACAGCGCAGCCGGGGGCGAGGATGCCGAGTCCGGGGAGCGAGGTCAGAGGGATATGCCCAACCATCTGAAGAAACAGTTTGAGGCCATTGTGACCACGGACCCCTTACACCCACTTAGTCCCGAGGACAAAGAGCTTCTGTGGCACTTCAGGCACGAGTGTATGCGCCACCCAAGGTACTCACTCACAGCTTGGATTGGTCTGACCAATCACACCTTTAGAAAAGAACTTTCAGGTGTTATACCCCAAATGTGGATGCTTCTGCACCCTGCTTTATATATAATTGCTTAACAATTGTTCACACATTAGTCCATCTACTATAAGTCACTTCTCTTAAACTCATGGCCTCTTTTTTGTTGGTAATCAAATGGACACTGACAAAGAGAGTGCTGAGTTTATTTCTACCTATAAAAAGGAAAGAAAATCCAGGTCCAGAGCTCTGCCCAGTCTTGAGCTGAACGAAAAACAAAAGCTTCAGATTTCATATGTATTTAGATGAACAAACTTGCCTTTTTAAAAACACTGAGTAGTCCATATTAATGATTTTTCCCCCAAATGAGGAACATTGAGAAAATTGAAAAGGATAGAAAGGCAGGAAAAGCCAAACAATAACTTCTGTCCTCGCATCTTGTTATATAGAAATGTTTTTAAATACATTGAAGTTTTATATGAAATCTTTTTAGTCTTTTTACTTTAATCGTCAATCAAGGATTGTTTTTTTTTTACTTAAGCTGCGTTTAATGGGATTTATGTTTCATATTTGCCCCTTTATTCTTTAAGGAATTAGGTTTTATGTTATTTCTCTATTTTCTCTGTTTATATATATATATATATATATATATAGCCGTTTGTTAATAGCGACAGTTCTTTTAAATATGCTTCCTCAGTTTATATTTACCTTGGTGGACTGTTGCGCTCCTCTCCTGTAGGGCTTACCCAAAACTGCTGGGGTCGGTCCGGTGGGGGAAACAAGAGGATGTTTTAGCAACGCACCGTCTGTTGGAGCGCTGCAGTGCGTGGGACACCAGGTAAGAGGCTTGTCGCGCCACCGCCGCACGGTGGTCATCTCCCCCTCAGTATGTCCGGGTTACTCACTGACACGCTGCTGGTTTAGCGGCCTGGACGTCGGCCTCGCCATGCAGCTGCTCGACTGCCACTACTCAGACGCTCACGTTCGTTCGATGGCCGTCAGGAAGCTGGAAACGCTGGAGGATGACGACGTGCTCAGGTATCTCCTCCAGCTTGTCCAGGTACGTCTTTCCATTTCATTCCATTGCCATGTATTATATAAAATATTCTCTAAAGTATTTTCACCTTGTGTTTTTATTTCTATTTCCTAACTCACCATTAAGGAGACTGATGTAGCACTTTCTAAGATACTGTCTTCAATTGACATAGATATTACCAAATCCAATGAGTGACAGAAAAATATGTACCTTTGCTCTAAATTTATTTGTGTATCATTGATATGCAGCCAATAATGATACTCTAAATTTCCATTCTCTATTGAAACTGAACAGATTATGTTTGAATAAGACACATTCCTGAATTGAATTGGGAGGATTTTTTTTTTTCTGGAAGCACTTTCATTTTTAGGGTTATCTTAGATATGACATCATATCTAGAATGATGACAGCCGGTCCCCATGAATTTATTATGTGCGGGCTCAAGCAGAAAACTACATTTTCCAGGCCAGATGTGATTCACAGAAGGATTGCCACTTCCACAAATGTGCAGCCAATCCGGTTCAAACTTTCTTGTGAACAAGTGAAAGTCTTTGTACATCGTTTTTACCATTTCCAAAAATCACTGATGATTAAGTCAAGTTAAAAGTGGCAACATCTTTTTTTTTTTTCAGTCAGAAATGTTCGTAACAGAAGATTTACTGACAGTAAATACAAATATGCCTCGATGCATTTAAGTTAGACATTCACAAAACATAAATAGAAATGAGTTTTACTTTGTCATTTCTATTTTAATGTATATTTTCAGTCACTGAAATCAAGATATTGTTCATATGTAGTACTTTAACTTCTGAGATCAGTTTTCTGGTAAGTTTCCTGATCAGTCAGCTCAGTTTAGCTTGGACTTGGACTGGAAGACCAGCCTTTCTGAAAATAGTTTGTGAGTGACACATGTTGTTGTCAAAGAAACCTCTATTTAAACTTCTGCTCCACGTGATTAACAATTTGACTATGTCCAAAGCTCCTGGAAAGAGGCTGACCATCAGATAAATGCTGCAGGTTGGCCATCCCCAGTGTTTCCACAGACTGTGGTCAGCTTTGCATAAGCAAGAATTATCAGCTGAGGCTAACAAAAGGCTCTTTGAACCAGTAGGAAAATGACACTTCCCTTCATCCTGTTATCTTTTCATATCATTAATTCTTTCGATATATGGAGGCTGTCACTCCATTAAATTATAAACTCCTAAGTTTCTAATGCTTCCTTTTAAATACAGACAATTGGCTTTGCAAAGGTGCTCCACTGACTCACAGCAGGGAGCAAATGTGTGACTCTATCTGATCTATTTTTAAGTGCTGGCCAGTCTTTGAAGGAGTAGCTACTGAAAAATGGAAATAGCGAGCAACAGAAGGTTGAAGCTGTTAATGTGAAGTGGGTGTGTTCCTCAAGGAAGCCATTTTAGTCATCGGACAGAATTTTGGCCCAAAATACACCTATTTGAATATTTTAACCATTCACTGCTTCCTTTATGTAACATGAATTACATCATGTGTTTACAATAAGCTCTGGGTTTTCATTGCACTTCTAATTTTTGCCTAACTTTAAGGTAACCTCTTAAGCAAAGTTTTTCTAAGGGTGCCAGTGAAATACCATTTCCTATAAAACTTAGAAAATGTCTTTTTTTATGATTTTCATTTTTTACGTGCTCTGAATATTAAATAATATAAGAAGTATAAAAATTGTTTAATTCTCACAATTTTGAAGATTTTTATGGTTAGCGAACATTATACCGCTACGCTCGATATATATATGTTTTTCTAATTACTGAGAAGGATTCATGTAATTAGTTAGCTTACATGTTACATAATGCATTAGGCCATTTGTTTTTAACCTTTTAGAAAATAGAAAATAAGTAATTGTTGGGGCGGTTTGTACTCCTTTACTTAATTGGTCTTTTTGGGAAGTGAGGTAAATCAAACACAAAAGCCTTGCCTTAATATGGAAGGCGTTGGTTTCCTGCTTAGGATTGATGGTAAATTATAGTTAGGCATAGAATAACAATGGTTACTGGTTATGCTTTCCACAATGAATATTAGTCAATCCAGTGATCTAAAAAAGATCCTTGTTAAAAATTGTGCATATATTCCTCTACAGGCAGTCAAGTTTGAGCCATACCATGACAGTGCTCTGGTGAGGTTCCTGCTAAAGAGAGCTCTCCGGGTAAGCAGGGCTTACATTATATCCTCCAATCTGAGTGTGCCGCTTCATTCGATCCTTTGAATGAATTTTCTTAAACACAACATGGTATGCATCTAATTGAATTCGACAGAAAATTTGACCGCAACCCGGTCTGGATTTCTTTGTGTCCGTTCACAGAGTAAACGAATCGGTCATTTCCTCTTCTGGTTTCTGCGAAGCGAGATCGCCCAGTCCATGCACTACCAGCAGAGGTACGCCGTCCTGCTGGAGGCCTACCTCCGAGGCTGCGGGGAGGACATGCTGCAGGATTTCAGGAAGCAGGTACAAACCTAAAAACACTGTCGGAAAACAGACTGGTGTAAGATAAAAATAAATAAAACAGAATGAGTCTGTAATCCACTTTGATCAACAAGTAGTTTAAAAAAAGTTGTTTATGTTTTTAAATTGAGACCTAACATTTACTGGGATTTCACTGGAAGAAAGTGATGCTACTTGAAGCTGGTGGCAAAAATTTAAGGATTTGAGGGGCTCTAAAATGGCCACAGCATCTTGACTGATATTGCCTGCAAACAATGTTCAGGCAAAAAAAAAAATCCAAAGGCAGGAACACTGGGGAACAGGATCATACGATCACCGATGGCCTTGAAAGTAAAAGTTGGTCAGCAATGTCCAATAGAAGAGCTACTTTGTCACAGATTACCGAAAAACTGATGCTAGTCGATTAAAAAAAATACCGTCTGTTGTCGTTTGCTGTATTTGGAAAATAACAACCACAGACTGGTCAGGGTCACTGCCCATTATAAACTTTCCAATGCCGAAAAGACAGACTGAACCATAAAGTATTTGCCTAAAGATGGCTGGGTCCGATAAGTCATGTTTTTATTTTGGATGCCCAGGTCTCTCTGCATAAGAGAGCATGCGACTCCAGGACTCACTATGAAATAGAATTTCCTGATAACAGAGGCTACTTTCAGCAGGATAATGAGCCCTGTCACCTTGGAAATATGGTTTAAGAATTTAAGACTCTGTGGAGTCTTGTTTTTCTCCGCCTTACAAATCGAAGGATCTTCCACTTGCCACAAACCATATAATGCTTTAAGAGGTTTGTAGAATCCATACCTCAGAGAACAATAATGTTAGAAGTGACTGATGTATTAGTGAGAGTTAGAATGAGTTGTCCAGCTACTGGAACTGGGTGGATTTACCTGAACCTCATTGTGCAACGAACAGGATTAGCTCATGTCACCCTTCTCCACAGTAGTTGTACCGCATTACTATTTTTGTCTCTTTTGTATTCTTGCTTGGTCTTGTGTCACTAATCTTCTTTTCGTAAGCGTCATTCTTTTTTTAAGGCCTCCTGTTACTTCCCCATGTTGTGGACTTTTACCACCTAAACATACCTAATACCTAAACATTTTAGACTCGCGCCATGGGAGTCTGGGTATTCTGTAACTGTAAGGCATCGGTTTTACTTGATGGAAGAGCAAGGGTTCAATAGGGTTTTTGCTTTTTTATTTATTTGTTATTTTAAAAAAAAGTTGATGTTTTCCAGGTGGATATGACTGAGGCTCTGCAGAAAGTTACCCGCGAGACGAAAGCCATGTCTGCAGATAAATACGACGTCACAGCACAAGGTGAGGAAGAGAAATTCCACCCTGTCGTGCAGTTGGCAAATTAAAATAAAGGCCGGAATAAAACAAAAAACTAAAAAGGATCAAACATGCATTTTTTACCTACTAAATTCTACACTGAATAGTGAAGGCTCCTTCACCTCTGCTGCAACTTCAGGAGACCATTGAATCATTTTTTCTGGTTTCTTTTTGCTTAAAAAAATGCACTCTTATTTTGTCATGACTATTATTATTGTTATTTGTTCTAACATGTTTTTGGATGTGGATCAAAGTTTAAGGCGTGTGCTGTCGTGCGTTTGCCAGTGATTTTTCAGCTGCGGCAAAAACTGGAGCAGCTGTCCGGGGTGCCGGAGAGTTTCCGGGTTCCTTATGATCCGGGGCTCCGGGCTGGAACCCTGCTGGTGAGAGGCACACTCGCGCACACACAAACGCACATCTGCAGCCTCGTGATAAGATAACAAAAGGAAACGGCATAGCCAAACACGCTCGGATTGCGCTCGTTTGATTTAAGAACAACCTGTACAAGCTCTGTTTTTTCCCAAACAATGCCACTGGCTGTGATCGCAGATCGAGCAGTGCAAAGTGATGGCGTCCAAGAAGAAGCCGCTGTGGCTGCAGTTCAAAAGAGCCGACCCCACCACCCTGTCCAAAGACCCCATAGGCATCATCTTCAAAGATGGCGATGACCTCAGGCAGGACATGCTCATCCTGCAGGTGAGCATCAGCCTACGGTTTCCAGAGATGAAGGTGGCAAGTTATGGAAGAAATCTTGTGAATTTCCTCCTTTTGGTCCTTTCAGATTCTAAAGATCATGGAGTCGATCTGGGAGACGGAGTCACTGGACCTGTGTCTGTTGCCTTATGGCTGCATCTCCACTGGCAACAAAATTGGTGAATAATACTGAATGTTTCTGGAAAACTTTCATCACAATCTGAAGAATAGAATTTGTGGACTTTCTTTTCTTATTTTCTATTTAGATTTGGCATATACAACAAAGCATTAGGGCCACATTTAAAAAAAAAAAAGGGGGGGGGAACTAATTACGAGATTACAGCTGTTATCAAATATGGTGAGAAATAATTACAAAAATAAAAACGTTATTAAATATGGAAAGATAAATTAAGTTTTTAAAGTCGTTATTAAATATGGTGAGGATAGATTACGAGAATAAACTTGTGAATATTCCCTCATGTTTTAGAAGACGAGAGTTGATAAAATGAGGCTTGTAAAGCATGGAAATCGTGGAAATGTACTTTAGAATAAGTTAAAAAACAATTAGATACTTTACTCTAATTCACTTTACTCTAAGTATCAAGACGTTAAAAAGAACATGCAAGAAAATGCATCTTCTCTGGAAGTGCTCGACTTCAGGGTTATCGGTGGATGTGGGCAATTAGAAGGAGTTATTTTTTCTCCCCATATTTAATGACGACTTTAATCTTGTAAGTAATTCCAGAAATATATATATTTTTAAATGGCCCTAATACTAAGCCGTAGGTGTCGTATCAATCTTTCCCACTTTTTACTCCCCTGTTATCCACAAAGTGTATTTTAAACTGACTTTTTTGAGGGTTTTTTTGTCTACATCTGTAGGTAAGTATTCTAGAAAATGAGCTAATCTTTGTCCCGGCTTTGATTGTCCCCTATCATAGGTATGATTGAGATCGTGAAGGATGCCACGACCATTGCCAACATCCAGCAGAGTGTTGTGGGAAGCACAGGCGCCTTTAAAGACGAAATCCTCTGTCAGTGGCTGCGGGACAAGTGTGTTAGCGAGGACAAGGTACAGATCACAACCAGCTCAGGCCAAAATATATATTTTTTAAAAAGACTCTTTTCATAACACACTAGAACGACAGCTTCCTCTAACATCCAACGTCTGTTTTAAGGGTCATTTTTGCTTTCTCTTTCATAGTTTGCTGCAAATTGGGGCCAGCGTTGTGGCTAAAATTGATTTAGAAGCTGTACCTGTAACCTTTGACATCATAGCTGTTATAATCTTATCATAACCTGCTAAATTAATTCCTCTGTTACAAGTATTTCTGTTAGTATTTTTGTATTTTAAACATGAGAAGCTGAACTACCTGTTATAGTTTTTACTGGGGAAAAAGCAGGAAAAAGTTATGAAATCTCCCAACCAGGAGGGGGGTAAAAGTGTATATTAATCTTGCAATTTGCACATCTAAAATTAGTTCTCTCACCAGACTAAATAAAGACCTGAGTAGGTAGTCAAATGACAGCCCATGCTGAGCGTCTGAGGCTGCTGCATCTGGATGATTGGCAGGAAACATGCCCCCAAAATAAGAGCTGTCCAAAGAAACGATAATGAGGATGTAAAATTCCTTAATTTCTTTTCCCCTCTCCTGCTCTGATCGCGGCTAAGTGTTCCCAGTGTTGTCCAAATATAAAGCAAGAATTAAGCAAAATGGTGAATATTGCTAATTGCATGCGGGCAAAGCGGGGAAAAACAAGAAAGTATCAGGAAAGAGTGTCAATTTAATCACTTTAAATGGACATCTGATCTGTAGCTGATTAATTTATTTGTTTAAATTTTTGGGTGCTGATTTATGAATACATTATTTGCATTATGTAATCATTATGTTGCATTGTTTGCCTCAGCAGCTCAGTTTATCGGCTGAGAGGAAGTCAGTGTGACAGACAGGAAGGAAGCATGATTCAGTGTTCACACACACCTACACACCTCTGCATGCGGCTCCTTCTGTTCTTGCTCTTTTTTTAAACGTTTGAAAATAAGTCGTGTAAAAGGTTTATTTTGACCCTGATCACTCAGTCTTAAAGGCATCTTATTTAAAAAATATATTTAGTGAATCCTCTTTATTTCAGCGCTAACAAGTCTTTCCACTTGAACAAATGAGAACCTCTCAGGAAGAGCAACCAAAGCGCACAACTCCTTGTTTGTTTTTTTGCATGCGTGTGTGATTTTTGTTTTTGTTTTACAAACGCATGGATCCACACACTTGCCTCATCCGCATAAAAAAAGCCCCAAGCTTTCAAAATAAGGAAGGAAGCCAGTGTTATTGTATTGTTTGACAGTTGATCTCCATTCGTAGTTCCAGCAGGCCGTGGAGCGGTTCTTGTTCTCCTGCGGTGGATATTGTGTGGCTACCTACGTCCTGGGGATCGGCGATCGCCACAACGACAACATCATGATCACAGAGTCTGGTAGCCTCGCAGTTTTGTGCTTTCGTCTCTCTCCGTCAGGCAGACTGTAAAACAAAAGGAAACTCAAAGGAAATGATAACCAATCCCCTTTGTGTTTCTGCAGGGAATCTCTTCCACATCGACTTTGGTCATATCCTGGGGAATTACAAGAGTTTCATGGGAATCAGTAAAGAGTGGGTTCCCTTTGTGCTCACGCCAGACTTCCTCTATGTCATGGGAACATCTGGAAAGAAAAGCAGTCCCCACTTCCAGAAGTTCCAGGTGCATAAAATTCACAAACGCAGGCGACAATAATGGGAGAATAAAAGCGTCTTTTAGTTCTTAACCATAACTAAACAATCTCAAAAACTCAACTTGCCACTTCAACCACAGCAAAAGAATTCATAGCATATTATACCATACTGCTTATTTATTAAACCAAGTGTGAGCAGATTTTTTGTTAGTTTACCACTCTGGAAATGTTTTATTTGTGTTGATAAAGTGCAAAAGAGGAAAGACATCAGTTATTAGCTCAGATAAGCACATGATGCTGCTCATCAACCAGGAAGTGGTGATGAAATAAATCTGAACAGCTGTCAGCTATCCCAAAAATAAGACCTACATCTCAGACCGTACAGGCCCCAGTTAGCATCTTAAATGTTAAGGTGGAAGACGGTACAGTGAAAGCCAAGCCCCTCATATCGGCGCAAACATTAAATACCGATGATTTATTTTTGCTTTTGCAAAAGAAACAGTTTTTTTATTTATTTATTTATTATTTTATTTTATGTTTTTAAGATTTTGTTGGCTCTAGAGGCCTTTAATGATAGTATCTTGACAGGAAAGGGGGCAGAGAAAGAGATTTTTCCCTTTTTTTTTAAATAAACAAATCCTCCACACAATTCTTTTAGGACATAAATGTCAAATGATCATGATCAGACTCCGGTTCTGAACTGGTTTCTCTTTCAGGACGTGTGCGTGAAGGCTTACCTCGCCCTTCGGCACCACACCAACCTCCTCATCATCCTTTTCTCCATGATGTTGATGACAGGTAGGGCGGATCCACTCCCCTGTCGTCAAAAACACAGCAATACTCCGACGGGAAGCTTTCAAATGTCGTTTTCATTTTTTTTTTTAAAATGTCATTTTATTTTGAAAAGTTTTCGACCAAACGTGATCCTGTCCCTGGACGTTTTCCCCTCAGGCATGCCTCAGCTGACCAGCAAGGAGGACATCGAGTACATCCGCGAGGCGCTGACCGTCGGCCGCAGCGAGGACGAGGCCAAGCGTCACCTGCTGGACCAAATCGAGATCTGCAGGGAGAAAGGATGGATGGTTCAGATCAACTGGTTTGTCCATCTGGTGCTGGGGATCAAGCAGGGTGTGGAGAAACGGTCCACTTAGACCTCGCTGTTACCCCCAAAAAAAACAACAATCTTAACAATCTCATAAGGGAGCAAACATAATTTTATTTCTTGTTAATTTGCTTGCACTCTGTGTTGAATTTGAGACCATTTGAAATGAAGTTTTGTCTGTTTTTTTCTGTATTGAAGGTAGTTATGTCCTATGACGAGGAGTGTCTGAGCATAACTAAATGAAACGGTCCCAGTTTTCATGCATTTTATAAACCAAGTGCGCAAGAAAAAGAGGTTTTGACGGTGACCAATGCCACCGTTTTAATTATTTATTCATCAACAATGTTTTTGAATCACACTGGCTGCTAAAATACCTCTTCGATGTCTTTGGAGGAAATGTATCACGCCGCTTTTTTATCGCCGGTTTTGCAACTTTTACTGCCACGTCTGTCCACAGTAACCCGTTTGGTTACATCTGCTCCGTCCCACTTCTGACGGGCCTCCCCGGTTCAGATCAGCCGAGCTCCACCCTTAAAGCAAGGTATTACTCTGCGACACGGCAAACGGTCAACAGGCTGAGAACTCACACTGGCACACACCACAAATCAAACTCGGACGACCACACACGATGTAGTAGAGAAATGTTAATGCCAAATGTTTAGTCCCGATCAGCAGTTTTTCTTCACACAGTTTGTACATATTAGTCTTATAGTCACTGTCTCATTGTGAGTTGTGTTTTTGTCTGAGTGTGGTTGATTAGGGAAAAAAGAAAAGGAAAAAAAAAAGTCAATTCAATGCAACAATCAGCCAAAAGGTTTGTACTCCAGTCAGAACTTGCTGTCAGTGATAAGCTTCTTTTAATTATAATAAATCTGCTTTGCTTGCATTCAGTAAAATGAATAAAAAGAGAAACGGGTTAACTTCCAGCTGGACAAGATTAGAAGAAAACCAATTTAGGAAGTCAGATTTCCTCATTGAGATGTAAAAACTCTGGCAAAAAAAACAACAGAGGAATATTACTGGCTTTCTTAAGAGAACTGTATAAATCCACATGAGAATTTGACAAGATGTAGAGCTTTAATTCAGCTTTAATGAGACACAGTTAATGTATCGGGATTTGTTTTGGGGGGAGGGGGAGAAAAAGAGGAAGTTGGATCTTTCTCTTTTGAGCAAGGAAGTGTGAACCAAAGATTTCTTTTTTGGTCCTTTTTGGAGTTTTTGTGTTGACAGTAATGTCAGAGAACTAAATATATCCCGTGACCCGCAAAAGACAAAAATATATTTCATTTAAATTACATATAATTTGGAAAATCTATTCAATTTAGTGGAATTTCCATTGTGAGCTCATTGCTGTATGATTTAATGTGTCAAACAACAGATTAAAGTAACAACTTGGGCCGTTTGTTTTGAGTTCAAACACAAGTAAAGTTAATGTGTAAAACATACCAAGTGGTAAAAAGGGACCAGTCACGACTTCAAAAAAGATGTCCAAGTTCCAACAGTCTGAGAATCAGTATTTGTCTTCAGGTATACAAGTCTTAAAAAATGGAGAACCTGCTTTATTTTCAAACGAAAAAACATTTTTTAATAAATCCTTTTGAGCTTGTGAATGTGTTTGATTCGTTTTGACCAACGGAGGGACTTTTCTTCCCACAAATAAAATGTATGGGGTTGCTTACGAGACCTTAAAATCTGCCGGTTATCGTTGAACGCGCTGACCGACAGTGACCACAAGATGGCGCTAGGCCACAAGCTCAGCCCGTTAGGTAACCAGGCTCAGCAGCACATCAGTCTGCCTCTGCCTTTTTTTTTTTTCTTTTTTTTTTTTTGCATACTTTTTCCCGTCTCTTCCTATGGTTCCTCTCCTCTTTGTCTTGTCCTCCGCCCTCGGCAGGGAGTGGGTGTGAGTGCACGGCGGGGAGGGAAAAGCTCTGACACGCCGGCCTGTTTCACGGCTGCGAGCCTCTCTGTGCGTTGCAATTTAAAGTGCCCAGGGGTCTGAGGGGCCATTAGACGGATAACCCCCTCCTCACTCTTTTTTTCTCGCCTCTTTCCGTGAGCTTTTTGACACCGTACGGAAGCGTGACGGCGAGACAAACGCGTTCCCTTTTGCAGTTTGTAAGAATAAAAACAAATAATAAAGGAAGCCAGTGTCATTTCCAAAGCATCTGCAGAATAAAACTGTTTCTGTGTTTCTTCTACCGACCCTCAATTTGATTTTCCCTAAGCAGGACGTCCTTTCTGGATTTTCAGGAATCCTCTCCTTTATTTTTTTTAATTCTTTTTGTTCTCAGAGATTGTAAAAACGCGCTGTAGCTTTTACAGGATGACACCCTCGGCTTGTGACAGGGCCGTGAGGTTTGGGTGTGGGAGGGAAACTGGAGCACGCTGGAAGCGTCCGCAATCGATTCCCTCTCTTTTTTTCTATTATCTCTCGTTCCTCTCCAGGAAGACGTGAACCAGATCATACAACGGGGGAAATCACTACTCCTGTGCGTGTGCGCGCTTATGTGTGTGTGTTAGAATGTTCAACACTGTACCTCAGTCTTTGTGACTAGAGATCATCAGGATGGGAACATTTAGCCTGACCTCACTTCTCCAAGGGGGCTATTTTAGGGTCAGGGACCTGGTTTGAGGTTAATTCCAGTTAAAGGGGCGGGTTCAGGACCCGGGCAGAGCAAATTTTAAGGGCCACCGGAGCAACAAGCGTGCAAAAACGGGAGCAATTCGCGCCCTTTATGTGGAGCACGGCCGATCCAAATGTAAATGCTGTTATATGTGCATGCATACGGCTAGATGTGTAGGTGTGATTCACTCTGTTTATGGTGGGTGTCTTTTAGTGTCTCGGAGAGCATAAATACAGATTCAGCGCGCTCTCTCCGCGTTCGGTGTAAATGTAAAGCGTTGCTGTTAGCTGCTGAAGATGTCTCCCTATGTCTTCCTTACACACGTTGTGATTTCAGATGATTTGAACTTTTCCTGTAACCTTTTGGACTGACAGCACTCTTTCAAAACATGAATCTTGAATCCTTTATTTGATCCAGATGTGGATATATAGGGACACAGAAGTGGGAAGAGCTAATACACATCACAAATATTTCATTTTCTGTCCCAACCTTTGAAAAGGGCCATTCTCTTACAAATCATTTCTAGTTTTTAATTGCCTGGGTGGGTTTCTGAAAAATGTAAATAACCCTTCCTGCACTCATGATTCAGGATCCTATTGGTTGTACACTCAAACTTCCATAGATATGGGGATAAAACAAATTAATGGGGATGATTATGCTCCCATTTAACCCTCTTTCCAGCCCCATAAGTCCATAAAATCTAGTTTTGTCTGAGATCAGCCTTAAGTAATGCCGGAGAAAGCCGCTGTTTTTTGCCACGAGGCCGCCCTCAGTTTCAGCCTGACCTTTTTAACAGTTTCCTCAATTACAACACCTAGCTGTTGATACTACGGCCTTTAATATTTAACACCCTTTCGCATATCTGCACCTGCTGTAACCAGAGACGGAATATGGAAGTGTGCTTGGGTGTGCATGCATACACGCGTGCGTGTGCGCGCGTGTGTGTGTGTTTATAAGCGTGCAACATCAGATACCTTTACTGACAGAAAACAAGGGCACACCAGGGCGTGTGTTAGTTTGTGCACGCTCGAGTGTGTGCGTGTGTGTGTGCGCGTTTGCAACCTGACTCTGGCCCTAACACGCTATCTGTATTTAGCTTCGATTACCATCAGGTAGAACAATTAGTCACTACGGAGACTGGGAGGATGTAGAAAACGGGTGACGCACCACCCTGCAGAAATTCTTTTTAAATTATTGAATTAATTTAATTCCCGGATCATTCTTTTGGTGAAGAATTAGATATAAATGTGCATTTTTTTCCGTCTGTGTGAAAATGGCTTAAAGCTAGCCTTAAATTAATTTCTGACATAGGCTTTGTGACTAATGTTTAACCTCCCGAGACCCTGCAGCCTCTTATTAGGACGACACATTTTTGGCCCTCTGTACCAGGACACTTCAGACACTAATATCTGAAATCTAAACCAAAACCGTTCTATACGTTTTGAACCAATCATGCATTCGTTATGTAATCAGCATTTTGTTATGAAGTTCTTTTTGACCATCAGACCCAAACTGCAAAGAAAATGTTTGAATACTTAAATGCACATTTTAAATGCAACGACGAACCCACCGTTCCTATATGATTAAAAAAGACCCAGTCATGGTACACCCAAGCATGCGTGGTAGTTATTAGGTTTTACTAGTTCCATATGTCTTTGAGAAAGCAAAAAGCACACCAAATAAAAGCTCGTGTTGGGATAACATGATATGATGAGCAAAAAAGAAGTCAAAACAAAGTCAAACAGAGTAGAATGTTCAAGTACAGCAAACGGCAGCATGCATAGAAAGGATAAAGTTTACATGAGTAAAATCTTTTATTAAGTTTTGTTTGCAAGGGTTAGGGTTTTTTGGTACAGTATTACTTTAAATGTACATGAAATGTTAAACTCCAGTTCTCTAAATGATCAAATATTCCTTTACAAGAACTTGCAAAGCATTAAGAAATCCTTGCAGAGCCTTGAGACTTCCTCGTAGAACTCCACCCCTGTCAAAGAAGTTTGCATTGAACCATTAACTGATTTGTTGCCAAGACTAGTTTTATATTTTGCAAGGTTTAAACAAAATTTTTATGTTTCATTTCAATAATTTAGGTGTTCTTCCTTTGGCCACACCCTTATTAGGTTTCACAAAATGCTAGTGGTGTTCCCTAATCCTTCAAAACTGAAGAAAAAGAATGTTACATCATCTTTGTCTATTGGCTATGAAATGTAGCTACAAAGTGTCTCAAGACTATTAATCCCAAGAACAACTAAAGAACTACAACCAGAAGTTCTGATGTAAAAGCTCTAGCTTTCAACCATCTCTCCTTTTTGTTGTTTTAGTCTTTTCCATTCTTTCAAATGTTTTAATGTAAAGCTAACCATACCTATAGCTAACCAGGAAGTAATGGAGGCTGGTAGAGGGAAAAGAGGGCAGCCCTGACATAAAGATGTCCACAGCTTAGCATCCAGTAAAACAAACATCCACATTTTTTGGGTGATATATGCATAACGTATGCGTATCTAATGGAAAAACATCAATGCAAATTAAATATATCAATTTTTATCTTATTGCAGGCCCCCAATGCACAGATATATAAAAAATAACATTTCTGACTTTAGAAGCTTGTGTTAACGATCTCCATTTTTGTCTATTTTTTCAGGTTAATTATTGTATTTGTGGTTTATGACTGCCACCATCATTCAATCAGTAAAAAAAACATAGAAACAATTTAATTTGTTCCGTCAAAAATAAACTACACCAAGGTACCATCACTTCTGGGATGGTCACCTAAACAAAATCTAAAGTCACAAGTCTTGACCTGTGTTTTTCAATGGTGATGAGTTTGTGTTCTGAATTTCTTCTCCAGGAAAATTTTGAATCAGGAAAGTGGCTTTTGGCTTTAAATATCCAGCTCGGATTCAGCTTTTTGCCTTGATTTGTGTTTATATTTCAACCTCACAGGCAAAGATCTACAACCTCTGCTCTTCACATCCTATAGCCACTGACAACCTGATCTTTGCTATAGATTTCACATCTTTGTATCAGATTTAAATGATCATATCCCTGTTTTTTTGTGGGGGGGTTAAACCTCTTCCTTTTTACGTTTAAACGTGTGCCATGACGGCTCTTTCCTCGTCCCAACGTCCACGAGGCTGACCTTTTGAAACCTCGTAGGTGCAACTAAACCTAAACAGAAGGCCCAGTAATTACTACACATTAGAGAGCCCAATAATCTCTGTTCTGCTCTGGAGAGGAGGAGGAGGGGGGGGGGGGGGATTGGGGGATGT